TAAATTATGCAAATATTCACTTTCATTACCTTTAAAAAATTAGTTTTGCAAAATTCGCAAAATCATATATTTAGATGGTTTTCCAATGCTTATAATTACATTTAATAGAAGTATATATTTATTATAAAAAATAAACTTGCCATCAGGGGAAAAAACAAACAAATAAATAAAAATATAAACTTAAAATGTTTGACTCGCATATTAAAAAAATAAACCCAAATGTTTAATATTGAAACTTGGATTTTTTGCATCTTCTTCAGCTTTCCTCAAAGGATCATTTAAAAAATAGACTAATTCGAAGTCTTTTGCCCTTAAATGTCATTCAGTGATATACTAGTGTGCAAAATTCTTAGATCAACAATTTTTTATGTATGATATACCCAAAGAATTTTCAGATCCAGGAATTTATAAACTTTAAATGCTAAAAATATTTTATAAATATTGTCATATAGTTTTATAACTTTAGAATTAATCTAATGCTTATATAAAATGCACTAAACTAGAAATATTTTTTCCTTTAATCAAAACGTTTTGGGTTTTATTTTTTAGAATGTGTATAAACTTATCTATAAAAATATAAAAATTGGGTGGACTGTATAATATATTAGATTTCATGCTTCTACAAAATTGACTACTTTAAAGAAGCCAGAAAATTAACATTTTTTATATTTAAAGCATTTTCATAACTGGAAATATATGTTTATCGCCAAAAATTGCAAAAATAAAGGCTACATATGGCTTTCTATGGATACAATGTATAAAGTTACTTTTAACTCTTTAAAAATTCTACTTTACTATTAAACTTGGAAATTTGTTTTGCACAAGCACTTATCACACATTTAAACACAATAAGCAAACTTATCAAACTTAAATCTACTCGAATTTAGTATCTTTCAGCATGTAAGATCTAAAATTTCAATTCAAAGGATAGTCCAAGAACATTACACAGAAGATGCTTAATACAGAGAAATGAAATTTTTATAATTTTTTTCATTTGAAAGGTTATTAATAAGCATTCTATTTTATATTCTCTATGAAATTATTTTCAGTATTGATGGGCACAAGTACTTTTTTAATCACTATTTGCATAGGGGAATATATCAACTTAGCTTAAAGTTTGTTAATTATACATAGAACATGTACAGCTAGTCATAATAAGACGAGCACCATTACTTATAATAGTACAATGTAAATATCTTTCAATGTTTATCAACAAGGCATGCTCTAAATTACTTTCTTTTAAAAATATTACATATAATTTCTGCTATATGCAAAAAAAGAAAAGGAAATAGTTATAAATCTCTATTTCCTTCCGAAAAAAAATTGAGAGGTAACAGGTTGAGAATTGAGAGGTTCATATAAACACTTCATATTCAATAAAATATAATTATCCTGATTACTTTTCATTGAGTAAAACCAAATTAAATTTACTGCAATAATATGAACGAAAGTACAGACCTAATATTTATATCAACTTTGGAGTAACTGATATTAAAAAAAAAATGATTTCAGTTAGCTTAAACAAATATATATTAAAAAAATTCCACACCTTTTATTACTAAACAACTTTACTAAATTTAGATTTATTAATGAAATAATATTTTTGACATATCAAAATTAGAAAATTTTCAATATTAGAGGTAGTTGTTTGAATTATGGCTTTTCTTGATTATGAATGAAATTTAAGACTTCACCTCCCAACGGCACTTATTTTGAAACAGAGCTACAAAATACTGAAAAGTTCCTTCAGATTTTTATTTTCTACAAAACTAATTGTTTTTTTTATTGATATTTAAGAAACATTTATTTACACACATACGGGGTAACATATAAACAAAATATTAAAATTTTTATACTAAATTATGAAAAAATTTAATCGCTTTTCCTAAATTTTAGATAAACAAAGGCCACATTTATTCATATATCTCCCTCTACATTTTTAATCTAGAAACTTTAGATTTATTCTATAATTTTAAATTTATCTTGAATTCAGGAGATCAAATTCAGTTAGAAAATTCCTAATTTTAATTTCACCCCTGGATCTTCACAACAGTGCCCCATAATAATGATAGTGTCAGAACATTTATAAAGATTCTTCACCATATTCCAAGGTAAACACCTTCATGAAAGCTCCAACTACACAAAGGTCTGATGACACTTTTATGCCTGGGCCCTGTTATGCAAGTAGGCTTTAAATTTTGTTTTTCTTATTATTTTATTAAACATGGCCATGAAATAAAATGACAGCAATTTCTTACAAGTAAGTTCCTTTTCATAATGGTGCACACTGCTTTATATTGGATTCATTCGACCAATGTAATGTTTCAGGTTGTATTTCTCAAGAATGGGACTAAGCACTGTCAATTAATTATCATTAAATATAAAATTGTTGAACCTTATTAAAAATTCACAAAATGAAACATTATATTTCCTGCTTTACATTCATGATGAACATACAATGCAAAAAAATGCATTGAAAATTGTAACAATTCAGTTACAAGATAAATAAATATATAGTAACAGAAAATTATAAATTTTAAAGTACTCAATTTCCTAATAGTCAAACATCTAGTTACCCATGCAAACACAGAATTTATCCTACAAAACACAGAATTTTTCTTATTTCCATTTGCACAACATATAGTTTAATAAGGGAGATATGTGAGTGAATATGGTACATAAAGTTTTCTAACACGGTTACAGACAAAGAGTTCATACAAAGGTGTCTGAATATAGGACTCTAAAAAGGAATCTATGTTCTTTAAAATAATCTTGAGTCAGTTGTCTATGAGTGAGTGAAAGTAATTGAATTGTGTGAAAAGGCACTGGTTAGTTATAGTATCAGTTGACTGTGACCACGAGTTGTCTGTAGTTAGTACTTTCAAAGAATCTTTACGAACAACTGATAGTCATATGTTCAACCAGTTCATACTGTAAGCAACTCAGTGCTCCTTTTTCAAGGTGCAATTAAACCCACACTGCAGTTTCTTGCATTCAAATGCTTTTCCTGACTTGGGAATGCTACAAAGAACATGGATTCCTATTAGAAATTTGTGGTATTCTAATTCCTCTATATGTTTCTTAAGAATATTAACACCATAAACTCATCCTGTAAATAGATTTGAAATAATTAAAAGATATTAATTAAGAATCTGAATTGAATAGGATTAATTATCTATTAAGAATTATTAAGAATCTGAATTAAAAGCCATTTGGATCAAATAAAACTATATTATTTGAAAGACTTTACATATAGAAGACAATAAAGTGAACGCAACATTTCAGTACCCATTCTCATTTCATACACAGCATGGTTTACTAAACTAAATATTAACATTATTTATTTTCAGAACTTCAGTTATAACAAGAAAAGAAATCTGAAAACAAATAGCTTAAGAAAAACAGGATGAAAATTCATACAAACAATAAATTATATACACTTATTCTTACAGGAAAATTAAGAGAAAGTAATGCATATATAAAAATATGCAAAAACAGATTGTTTATATGTACAGAAAATATTAAAAAAAGTACATTAGGAACACAAGAAATATCATAAAAAGATAAATCAAACATAAATCTTTTGTCCAAAAAGTAGTAGGACTGATTTTTTTAAAAATTTATTCCCAGTTTTGACATATTGACTTAACAATTTTCAAAATATGCCCCTTCTGCATCAACACAGCATTTCCAGCAACTCTGCCAATCAATGAAGAGTACCTGGGATGCAGAAACTTGAATGCTCTTCAGCTCGCTCGTTATGGTCTCTTGAACTGCCTCTAGCGAGGCATTGTGCTTTCTTTTCATGACCCTTTTAAGTCGGGGAAAGCGGAAGTCTGAAGGAGGGGCATCTGGGCTGTAGAGTGGCTGGAGAAGCTGTGTGATGCTATGTTTGGTCAGGAAGTTCATGACAGGAAAGACGGTGTGGCTCTGCGTATTTTTGTGATGGAGCCCCTATGAGCCAGAGATTGCTGATGGACACAGTAGACTCGTTTTCTGAGTATTTTAAGTACAGGTACAACCCAGATGTCACTCCTTCAGACTTCTTCCCCTGACTGAAAAGGGTCATTAAAGGATGGCAACACAGTTAGGTATAGGCCATTCAAGAGACTGATGAGGGTGAAGAGCATTCCAGTTTCTGTGTGTATGTGTATGTGTGTATTTAATTATGGCAAAGCACGCTAGGGCTATCTGCCTGAGGGGAGGGATGCCTTTCGTGGAGGACTTTCTAAGGGAAACTGGCTCGTATACACGTTACACATGGGGAAAACCACGAAAACGCCCATGCAGCCAGCCCGTTCGCGGGATTCGAACCTTGGACCGAACTACCAGTGTTCAGCGTCTTTACCGCTCGGCCGCTGGTGGCCATTCCAGTTTCTGTGTTCCAGGGAGACTTCCATGATAGGCAGAGTCACTGGAAACACTGGTTAGTGCAGGGGGCATGTTTTGAAAACTAATAAGTCAATGTGTCAAAACTGCAAATAAATGGTTTAAAAAAAAAATTCAATCCTTGTACTTTCCGGATAAACCCTGTATAAGATTCTACATCAAATTAATTTTTTTTAAAAATGAATACTTAAGACATATTTTATGTATACATTTGTTCATAATAAGTGACATAATTTACATTTTAACAAAAGATGAAGACAATGTAAGAATACAATAAATATATACTGATCACAAGCAAACAAACTTTTAATGATTAAATTAACAAATAATAACTTTATAACCACTAACTTGCTTCAGTTTTTTTTTTATTATTATTTATGAGCCATCGAGCACATATCAGAAAGATGATGTTTCATTTAGAAAATCCCCTCTTTTTCAAAATTTTTTTTATCAAAAACATTTACTTTTTATATTTGAATGTACAAAATATTGCTAGACTCCTAGTATTATTAATTAAAATAAGTAATTGAAAATAAATAAATGTTAAAATTGTTCACTTATACACAATGGTTATATTGTGAAGTAAAAAATAGATGAAGAGATGCACATACAAAAAGGCACTCAAGTATTATCCAGTGATGAACAGACTTTTACAAATGGCAGTAAAAAGATGACCATCATTCAGGTACCTCTGTCAAGAGCTTTCATAAATTCTTCTTCCGAAAACTGAAGAGCAGTCGCAGCTTCAATATGCATCTAAAAAACGCAAGGAACTAAATAATAAGAATTTCAAGAACACAGAAGACATACTAGGAAGAAACACAGAACACAATATTAAGGTACTGAAAAGTGCATCATAGGCAGAATATATAGAACTTTGTTTAAAAATGTTAAAAAATCATGTAGCACAATTTTATAATATGTATCTATATAGATAAACAGAAATTTCTTACAACAATAAACAAGAGTATTTCTTAACATTTTAAAAGTTACCCACATTTTTAAGGCCACATTCCTACAATTTAACTTTTCATTTCTATCTGATCATATTTGAGTGAAACTGATAAACACACAACTTTCACACTTTCCTGTGTTAAAGAAATAAGAAATGAGATAGAAACTCTTTAATGGAATGGCTGCAAATTTTTAGAGTTGATATATCAAGAAAGAATAATTTAATAGAAGAAATCTGATGAGTATATATATATATATATATACACAAACACATGTGTGTGTATATGTTTGCATACATATAAAGAAAGATGCATTTCATGTAGACATACCTCCACACACGCATACACACATATATAAAGGGTGATGTAAGAAAAACTACACTGCATGCCTGTAGATAGATGTGGATAGCTTGTCTCATTTGCTTTGTTGGTGCGATTATTCTCAACTGTCCCATTACCAGATTTCATGAAGATACTGGTCTAGAAACCATATGGAGGAGCTCTCCCAATGCCAATATTAATGGTGATTTTAATTTAATTTTCTTTTTCTAGAAATTTTCTAGAAATTCTAGTCTTTAGAAGTTAAGATTTAAATGTAATTGAGCTTTATTTTTATATAATGGTGTTTTTAAGCTTATTCATGCGTTTTCATAACTGATTAAATAAATAACATTTTTGAATAGTTAGTTTTGCCAGGTTTTTTATCTTTACGTAAACTATTTTTTTGCATCATTTTACATTTCAGTATTAAGCTTGATTATGAATTTACTTTTATTCCTTGCTTGTAACTAGTAGGATGCCAGGTACAGGTAGGGGTAGTTCTTGTTATTATGGGATTAGAAAAATATTATTTACCATTTTAGGATAATTAGCAGCGGTTTAGTCACATAATGGCAGGGAGAATGAAATATGTGTTTGGCACTCATTAACAGTCTGGGTTTAATATTTTAAGTACTAACTCCTTGACAAGTTCTATCTGAAGAATTAAACAGAGGGTGATTAATAGCATTTCTTTCTCCCATTTAGACAGTTTTTTTTTTTTTTAAAGATAAGTAAAAAAATTTTCCAGTATATACCTTTTGCCTTTTCAAATTATTAATCAACTGCATCTGCTTTTTAATAGCATTATGCAACTCTGAATTTTGCTTGTCTATACGCCTGTTTTCAGTAGACAGTTCTTCCATTTTCCTCTGATAGTTTTCCTGAGCTTCCTAGAATATAAATAGAATTACATAAATGGAAAATAACTTTTTAATTTCTTGTTTAGAAATCTCAATACACAAAGAAATATATTACAGTTAAAATTTTGTATTTTAGTGTAATTCTAAAAGCATAAATTTGCTATTATGTTGAACTAATACCGATCGTCGAAGAATTCTGTTAAGTTCTGTTTTTCATGCATTCATGTGTGCTGATTTTTAAGACATCTAATCAGATAATTATTGGAGAAGTCGAACAAGAATCAGTGCAATATTTTAAAATTTTGGAAGATTAGTTTCAATGGTTCAACTGCAGAACCTTCTTCTTCAGCTGCCTAAATGCAAATGAATGAGATATGGTGATAAGATAAGATAAGAATGGCTGGACAGAAGTTAAGCTACTGGCACTATTTATTGATGAAACAAGAAAACTAAACCATAATTTCCTTAAAGGCTGAAGGTAAAAATGGATTGGAATTAGGGTTGTTAACTACAACAGAAAGATTTATTTTTAATGTGAAGTGCCTCTAGAAAATCTAATTCACTAAAGGAAGATGTTTTTAGAATAATTTTGCTTGCAGAAAGCATAGAAAGTGTGATTTTTGGACCAACTGTGTTGAACAACAGAGGATTTCTGCGTTTCCTTTTTCTGAATATATGCCTCGTGTTCTTTAATGCAAAGGGTTGTTAACTACAACAGAAAGATTTATTTTTAATGTGAAATGCCCCTAGAAAACCTAATTCACTAAAGGAAGATGTTTTTAGAATACTTTTGGCTGCAGAGAGACAGAAAGTGTGATTTTTGGACCAACTATGTTGAGCAACAGAGGATTTCTGCATTTCCTTTTTCTTAACATATGCCTCATGTTCTTTAATGCAAAATTTTAAGGCTTAGTTTGATCAGTGTAAATTAAATCACATTCGCAAGGAATCTTGTAAGTCACCGAAGAATTCATATCTGGAATCATATCATACATCTTTAAGTATGGAAGTGGGAATTTTATTGACAGCAGAAAAAAGGACCTGAAAGTAATATTTCTGCAAAGTAATTGTAATTTTATGGCTAATCGTTGGAAAGAAATGAATGACAACAGAATTCTTATAATTTCCTAAAATGAGAGTGTGCCTTTTGCTGTGCTGAGATAAGAATTTTTTAACTGCTTGGTTAATAATGTTCGGTGAAAAGCCACTGTCAATAGCAACTGCTTTTAAATAATTTGGTTTTTTTATCAAGAGCCAGTTTGGAAGAGCAAACTTGAAGTGCATGGAAAACAAAGGAATAAAATGAAGCCAACTGTTGTTTAGTTGGATGACACGATCTGAAGTGTGGTGGAAGGCAAACTAATGAAGGTTTATAATAAACAGTAGTACTGAAGTTAGATATGTTATGTGTGAACAAAATGTTGAGCAATGGCGAACAATTGGCTGTCTCAAGTATCCAAGCACTGTTGGTTTGAAAATCACACTTTCCATTTTCTTGCAGCCAAAATTATTCAAAAAAACATCTTCCATTGGTGATTTAGATTTTCTAGATGCAATTCACAGTCAAAAAAATCTTTCTGTTCAATTTAACGACCTTTATTCCAATTCATCTTTACCTTCAGCCTTCAAGGAAATTATGTTTTAGTTTTTTTCTTATCTTGTTCATTTGTACTTAGGCAACTGGGGGAGAATGGTTCTGTATTTAAACCATCAAAACTAGTCCTGCAAAATTTACAAATATTGTGTTAATTCTTGTTGTTTGACTTCTCCAATAACCATTACTCGGAATGTTATTTTAACCTAAATGTAATCAGATATTTTTCGTCATTCATTTTTTGCAAGGTATCACATGACAGCATGAAAATGCTTCCTAAGAAAGAGAAAGCAAATGAAGTTTAAATTATCAGAGATATAACAACATTTTCAAAATTAATATATTTGAAATGAACATTCTCTGTTCAAAATATAAAACAAATCTTTGTTTCAGATTTTGATTTCATCAGCCTAGTGAACTGCAGTACTTTGCTATCTCCACTAAGGGAAAATGCCTTCAAGAAAGAAATTACTTTTTTAGTGTGCCATTATAGTTTGCACACTATTGCAGTAAAGTATACATGTAACTATATTTAGTATCACATTACCCCAAAAATACTTTAAAAAGATATTGTTTGCTTCCAGGCAGATGTATGCATACATATATTTGTACAAGGAATATGCAGGGTGCTTCAATGAGCCTCCCAAATCTGTTATATGAGTAACTCATCAATGGACAGAGGTAGTATTACTAAAGTTTGCCCATTTACACAAGGGCAAAAAGGAAACTTATTTACTGAGTCTGTTTTCTTTTTCATTTTTTTTTTTCTAATAAAATGGACCAATAATGAAAGTCAAAACTTTTTATGTTTGTGACCACAGAATTACAAAAAATTCTCAGGAAGTAGTCTAGATCCTGTAAATGTTACAGTGAGTTACAAAGAATGAGGTTCATTCCTGATGCCTATTATGAACACTGCTTCCAAGATACATGGTTTCAGCATGATGAAGCTTCTCTACATTTTACAGACAGTGTCCTACAGAGTTCGTAGCCACATTTTAGTAAAAAATAAGCAACTATAAGCACTTTTCCAGCACATTTTAAGAAAAAAAATAAGCTCCTGTTTAATTACATATATACACAACTGCATAACTTTAAAATAAAAATGAGATTTAACCGTAATTCAAAATCCAAGAAATTCAGTATTTAAAGAGAGAATCAGCATTACTCAACCATGGGAAAGAATTACAATTATTTTTTAATTGCAAATAACAGTTCAATTTATCTTAATTTAACGTACAGTAGATAACAAATATTGCTCTTGATTAAAACAAAACTATGATCTGTAGCCCAATTATCAACGTAAACATATAGATTGTAAAAATATATTTAAAAACTAAAAAATAGCCCAACGAAACTGAATATTCTGCTTAACAAGCATAGTAAAACTATTTTAAGTGTTCATAAACAAATCCGAGAACGAATATCAAAACTAGTTACCTTTGCAAAATATAGCAAATGCTATTGCGCATTATGCATGCCTTAATTCTTCTGCACGTGATATTACACAATTGGAATCAACAGCTGCCAATATTTGGAGAATAATAAACTAAATAAAGGAAAAGAATGAAACTTACAAATCCGGAGTGTTTTACACTGTAATTTTGAACAGACTGTGTTAAATTTCTGGAATAGAATCACTCAATTGCGTTTTTGCAGCTGAGGATGATGTGGTTCAGTAAAACCATCGAATCTAGTCCTGTGAAAATTTGAAAATATAATGCTGACTTTTGTTGTTTGACTTCTAAATTGGTACACTTACCCATTTTTAAAGTTTAGCTATACATCAGCATTTACTGCAAATATATTATAAATATTCATACATATCTTTCATATTCAATCGTAATAAACGTGAATATGAACTGACAATGTGGGATTTGGAACATCTACAGTCTGTGGGTGGGAGGAAAAGTATGTGAAATATACCAGAATTTTCTACCCCTTTCACAACTCTTTGACCAACAGAACGATGTGCACCTGTCTTTACTCGCGCAAATCAAAGGTTAAAGGTTACGTTAATGCGGAGAAAGCTATTTCCGGAAGTATAATTCACAATCTGACAGTACAGATAAGAAAGTGTGTGTGTGTGTGTGTGTGCAAAGCCTCGAGGGCTATCTGCCTAAGGGGAGGGATGCCTTCATGGAGGACTTTCTAAGGGAAACTGGCTCATATACACGTTACACATGGGGAAAACCATGAAAACGCCCATGCAGCCAGCCCGTTCATGGGATTCGAACCTCGGACCGAACTACCAGTGTTCAGCGACTTTACCGCTCGGCCGCTGGTGGGCCACAGATAAGAAAGAAAAAGTTGTTTATTTAGTTGCGACTTTGATGCAGGGAAAAAAAAGGACTAAAAAAAATATAAGCGCTTCAAAGAAAAACATAAGCACCTATAAAGGCTTTTATAATTTATTTTCAAATATAAGTACTTAAAAACATTTGTAAGGACCACTACGAACACTGGTCCTATTCATTATGATACTTGTGTCATTGCAAGAAGCTTCCCAAATCACTTTGGCAATGAACTGGCTTGACATCCCTTTATGACTTATTGCCTTTTGACTTCTTAAAGCGTAAAGTCTGTAGAGATCAACCAAAAATAATTGAAGAGCTACAAACAGCAGCATCTGGCACAACAGAGAATTGGTTTCAGCACCCACTCAAACATGTTATGAACTTCAAAGATGAGACTTTGTTCCATAGTTTCTTCAAATTATAAGCATCTTGAGATATTTACTTTTTAATTTCCTTTATTGACATGCATACATTTTGAAATTATGAAATAAAACACCTTATTTTTCATTCAGAAGTTATTCAGTTTTTTTTTTTTTTTTTTTTTTTTTTTTTTGTTTTGTTGTTGTTGTTGTTGTTGTCAAGACACTGTGAAATACCCTGTCTTTCTGTGTAATGCTTCTCTTTTTATTCACAGAGATGAAAAGAAAATATATGCACCAGATTTCAAATTTATTGCAAAAACCTTTTATCTGAACACTGATTATAGCAGATTTACAAAATAAGATTAATTTAATCAATAAATGAACACTTAGCATGGACTTTGTAGTAAGCAAAGCCTAAAATGGCTTTGGGTACTACAAAGTGCCTGCCATAAAAAAAAAAAAAAAAGTTTATTTTTACCTAGTATTTAGTTATTTTTACCTAGCGTTCATAGAACTTCTGAAAATTTTTTATACATTTTGCCAAAAAAACATAAATGTCACCATATAAGTTTGATAGATTTCAAAATAGATACAGTGCAATTATGACTTGAAGCTCTTATTTGGATCTGAAGAAGTTACATTGCTTAGAAGCACATTACATACTAAAGATTAAAAGTCAGATAGCACACCAAACACTAGTTTTAGAACATCGCTATGATATCGTATATGTAGATCCACTAAAATCTCGTCCTTACAGTTTTAAAAATAATTGCTCATAAATGAGTCGTACTTAATGAAGTAAATAAGAAGTTGGCATTTAAATTACAATATTTACCTTACTGGCTTGTTTAAGCTGACGCATTTCTGTTTTAATGCGCTCATTTTCTTCCAGTGCACGGGATAGCTTTGTTTCCAAATTAGACTTAATAGATGCAGCTTGTCTTTGTCCTTGTTTAAGGATGTCAGTTTCCTTAAAAAATACAGTTTACAAATATTAAATGAAGTAATAAATTATAGGATTTTGTTAGCAAATTTTAGCTTTCTATAATTACACTGAGCTCAACAGTTGTTACTAAAAAAGAAATACATAATAAAGTAATTTTGAGAAGCTTTAAATGAAAAATTAAAACTCGTGTAACTAGTGTGCAATAAAATGTTCATTTTTTTTTAAAACACATTACAGAATATATATAAACTCATATAAATTTTTACATACTTTTTACATAATTCATAGATTAATGCAATCATATATTGTCTTTGATGCAAATCATAAGCTGTTTTAAAAGCTATTTTAAGACATTAAAAATTATTATAATTGTCTGTATTCTGAATAACAGTGTTCTGTCAGAGATGCTATCGAAACATTAATATTTAAATGCTTTTGAAAACTTGCTAAAGTATTTTTATAAACATGAAATTATATAAAAAATTTAATATAGCATTCTTTATTCAAGTAAAAGGAAGCCATATTGAAAAAGGCTGGTGTGTAAGAAACTTCAAAATTCATTTAGAAGGTAACTAAGTTCTATTACATTAAATGTTAAATATTTTATCTTTTATTTTTCTGCATTTATAAAGCTCTAGATCAAGATCTCAGTAACCTTCACAATGAAATTCTTATTTGATATTATAAATAGAATGACATGATTTTAATGTAACACAGAATTTCCTTTTCAGCCACTTTTGTGATAAAAATTACCAATTCCTGGATTAAATTTCATTGTCATTATTGTTCATAGTTAGTAATATTTGGATGTGAATGTACACATTTTCTTATATGCAAAATGCTAAGTCACTCTTTTGTATGTGGCTCTAAGTAATGTTTTTTAACACAAAAAGTTAATTAGACTTAAAGCTGATTACACAGGGTTAAGTTTACTGATTAAGGCAAAACACTTGAGGGTTGTCTGCCTATGACAAGAGATGACTTTATGGAGGGTGTTTTTATGGAAGCTGGCTGGCATCAATGTCACACATGGGAAAAACCATGAAACTCCCATGCAGCCAGCCCATTCTCGAGATTTGAACAACTAGTGCTCAATGTGTTTACCACTTGGCTACTGGTAAGGACTTATTGTATGATGAGAAATTACAACATTCATATCTTAACTGAGACTAACATAACAGGTAAAGTAAGAGGCAAAGGAAAACTTAAATCCATTCATACTACTGATATTGTACATATAAAGTTCTATAGAAAATTTAACTCATTAAATTATGGGTCTTATAATTTTTTCACTTTTCTCACGAACAGAAGAAATTCCATCATGAATTTTAAGCAAGTTATGTTTTTAATTTCTACAATAATTGTCTTGAAAATTTCTTATTGTTGCTTACAAGTAGTATGAATAGTTATGGGATGATAGCACATGAATAAAGTATTTTAGTGAACATCATTCTTTAGTTAAAATGTACTACAAAGATCTATTTATAATGCAGGGAATTTGGGCCCTCATACATCCAAAAGAGACGGACAGAGAAAAAATGCAGAATATAAAATGTGAAAATACTTTCATGAAGAATGAAATATGTCACTTCAAAACATTCTGCCTGACTTGCATACCAAGATGGTTTATTCATCACTGAAGCAAGCTGTCATTTTGATTGACAGTAATTGTTACAAGTTGGAAGATCAGAATTAATACTCATAAAGGAAAAGAATAATTTACGAAAAGAACACCTTGAATACTTATATACAGAGTACTTATATACAGTTACCTGGCAGAAATTGAAAAAGCAGGTAGAAAGTGTCAAGTTCCAGATAAATTATACATTCAGCTAAATGCCAAAATGAAAAAAAAAAAAGTAATTTATTTTCCTTAAGAAAAGGAAACAACTATTACAACAAATACACTGTTGACATTCTTTCATATCTGGAATATACCAACTCTCAAAAACTAAACTACATTACTTTCATGTTAACCCCTTCATGCCGACTGTCACGTCTACGTGCCAGCAACGAACACACTCACCTCCCGGCCGACACGCAGGCGTGCCAGAGCATTTTCCCGTTCACTACCAACTGTCACGTATTTGTGCCAGTGTCCTAAAACGTTTGAAAAACTATAATTTCTGCCACAAGATGGCACTGTATGTCCATATGGTTTCAGATACATGTACATTAGACCTTCTACTCGAAATAAGAGAAGCATGACTCACATACACATGTTTTTGATTATATAAACAAACGGGGAAATAAATGTTTCCGAATGGCGTGATTTATGACGTATCTTTAAATCGCACTTTATTTGCATGTGGTAGTTGTTTACTGTAAGTAGAGAAGTTTTATTTGCGCTAAAGCGTTGGGTATTTCGGTTTGCAGTTCAGTTTTTAGAAAATAATTAGATCTTGTTAGACGTGAATTCTTTCTGTGTTTACCGTTGCAATGTCGAAGCGTCGAAAATGTTTAACAGAGCATGAAATAGCAGAAATGATGCAAAATATTTCAGATATTGATTCTGAAATTCTGATATTGATTCTGAAAGATTAACTGAAAGACATTTTCCAAAACTTTGTTCAGAAGAGACTGATAAGAAAATGAGACGATGATGCTTCGTTTGTTCACATTCCCGGAAAAATCCTCCAAAACGGCAAATGAGTTATTACGAGTGCAAGGAATGTAACGTAGGACTGTGTGTAGATCCCTGTTTTCAAATTTTTCATACGAAAAGAGAATTTTAAGTAATATATTTAGTTTTCAGATGTATAATGTTAAAAGTCATAAAATGGTGAGTAATTAAAATAAAATGTGTAAAATATGCATTTAAACAAGAAATAAGGTAATTAAAGTATATAGTATAAAAAATATCTATAAAGCATAAGCTGTTTAAATATTCTATAGAGCATTATTAAACAATGCGTTGATACTTCGGAAATTTCATGGATTTAGGCTTAGTAACAAAAAAGCCCCCAGCCCTGGACAGACGCTCGCGTAAGACACTGCCGGCCTCTGCGATAAGTGTGCGTTTGCGCTACCCGGTGCGAAGAGGTTAAGAAACTGCAATATTTTCAGGTTGCCAGATTTTACATTTAATAGAGTAACATTATAAATACACAACAACCTTCCCACCTTTTGATTAGTGGGTTTCTAATAAAAATTAGAACTTAAATCAGTTCAAAATCACAGTTAAAAGGGTTCTTTAGTCCAAGTATCTGGAAACAGATGTAATTACTACGGTCTTTGCAAATTTATTGATTGTAAATTCAACTGCAAACATGAAAGAAACTTCCTTGATAAATAGTGTTTTCTCACTAGTTGTTTTGATGTGCACAGTTCTAATTTCCTTACCTTTCCCTAGATAGATCTGAATTACTCTTGCCACTGTTGTATACCAATATTCATTGTTATCGGGTTCTAGAATTGGGTTTTTATTTTATATATATCCATAACAATGAAACATATTATATTACAGAGAAAAATGTTTTGTGAGTAACTTGTGTAAAGCTTCTAAGTCAGTAAAAGTGTCTCACAAAATAATGAATTTAGTTTACGACTATATGAATCTTCTGTGTTCCTTCTCTTGAGAAGATACAACAAATTAAGTGGCATCTGCAATAGAAATTGGAGTAAATGCAAAATAAGCAAGGTACGATAAGGATGTTGCATACCGATATCCATTGTTATTTGTTTCAGAAATGGATTTTTATTTCATGTGCATCTGTTTCAGAAATGGATTTTTATTTCGTGTGCATCTGTTTCAGAAATGGATTTTTATTTCGTATGCATCCACAACAACGACACATGCTAAAATATAGAAAAAAATATTGTGCGAGTAACTTGGCTAAAATTTCTAAGTTAGTAAAACTATCCTAATATGAAATAATATATTTAGTTTATGACTACAAGAATCTTCTGTTCCTTCTCTTGAGGAGTTACAACAGCCATAGACCCTAATTTCTGCATTTATTTTTGCTCTTAACAAGTACTGTATCGCTGATTTGTATGTCTTGATGTTTTCCTATCTTTAGTCTTTGTAAAAGTTGACCAAGACTCATTTCTAAATTCTCCCTTCAAAGTTTCTCCCAGTCGTTGCTGGTACATTAATCTTTTATTCAAAATGACCCAATCAAGATGATCTAAATCTGGCATACCCACTTCAAAAATCTTGCCTGTAAATATTGCAGGTGTCAAATGAATAAGCTTATTTGAACTCTCAGATACATATATTAGTGGTCTTGAGTTTATTATAGTTTCACATTCACACAGAATGTTTATTAATTCTTCATAATTGACTGATGACAAACCTAATACTGTGTAGAAGTTTCTTGACCAGCTGAATCATTCTTTCCCCAAATCCTCCCTAGCAAGGAGCTGCAGGGAGTTAAGAATCCACTAAGTTCTTTTCATACATATAATCAATCCACTTTTAGTCAAAGGATTTCAGAAGATTACAAGAGCCAAAAAAATTGCTTTCATTATCACAACAAGTTATTTTTGGACATCCTCTTCTTGGGATGAATCTGTAAAGTCCAAACAAAAGAAACTTTGGAGTGACAAAGATATTATCAGTTCTAGGTGGATACCTTTGCATAATGCACAGGGAAACAAAATTACCCATGCCCTTTTTTGATTTTTAATGTAAAAGGTACTGCAAGATCTATCACCTCAAATATGAGGCTGTCTCAGACTCTGTTTCCTGGCAGTGTAGCTGGAATATATTGTATTCTTTTGGTTTCAGGTCTTTTGCATGCACCAGGACTTTACGGGCTGTTTCCTACTTTTCATTATCCAAACGTTTTCTCTCAACTTTGACATGAATATATGCAATCCAGCATCAGATAAACTCAGGTGCAGGTTAAAAATTAATTTTTCTATGAGTTCATGCTTAGTTGGAAATAACATAGGATAAACAAAACTTTTGTACTCCTTTCTTATGGTCAGTTTGGTTTAAACTCACAAAAAAATTATCATCTTTGAAAACAAAATCGATTTTAATTTTTTTTATCTTCCATATTAAAAGACTCTTGCTGCAGTAATTTCACAATAACTTTTTCTGCTGTTGATAGTTTGTAAACTTTTAGTTCTTCCTTGTCATATTCTTTCTTTCAGTTACCTGTTTCTAATAATTCTTAGTATACAAGTTATCATTCCTAAAGGCCTTTTTTTAACTCGAATACTATGGCAACATCCAGAAATTTGTGTTGCTGTTGCAATTTAATGTCAGTACGGTTTTCATTTCTTTTTTCATCTACAGCTTCATCGTCTAGAACAGGACTGGACTAGAGCCATTTGTGTTTAGACTTTCTTCACCAATACAGCCCTTCCTATAACCTACGTTTTATTAGTTTAGCTGCAGAACACCCCTTCGACGGCGAATCGGCAGGATTTCTTACACTCAGAATATGACATGAATCTTCAGTTCTGGTTAAATCTCGAATTTATCTTATTCTGTTATTGACAAAAATACCTGAAGTTTCCTTTTCCTCAATACAAGATAAGACTGTTGATGAATCAGTCCAGTAATATTCTTTCTCAATACTGATAACTAGATTCTTTATAACAAAAGAGCTAATCTGGCTGCTATAAGGCAAGCTAGTCATTGACGTCTAGGAATAGTAATTTTGCATAATGGAGTAATATAGATTCGGTTGAAGTAATTGCACCTTAAACTTTTTTGTCACTTTTCACATCACAAATAAACTACCGTCACATATGAATCTTTCAAAGCATTGGGGAAAATATACAAACTATGTATAAGACTATTATCTAACATTTTCTTTCTACGAATTTTTACTAATGATAAAGGCAAAGATTTTATCCTATCCTTGAATGATCCTATCCTAGATTTTATCCTATCCTAGATGATCTGGAATTTTTCCATCTCAACTTCTTTGCAATGACAACTTTGGAAGAAGTGTCAAAGGACAACTGAATCCAATAGGATCGAATACTTTATAAGTTATAGATAAAACATTTTTACATGTTACAGGAAGATCTCCCAAGCTTACTTTACTCCTGTCACAAAATAGAGTCTTCTTGTTTGCTCCAAAACAAATGTAACACTGCAATGGGATCTGGATTTTGTGTACAATCTTAATGTAACTGGATATGCTAACACTATCTCAACTCAAATTTTGGTGATTAATGCTGTCACCTTTGGTATAATAATATTAACTCTTTTTCAGTTATTCACATACAATTAGGACTTTACCATTTGTGATTTCTTTCTGTGTTACACAATGTCTTAAATAAAATTCAATAACTGCAACAAGAAGGAATGGGCTAAAATTATTCAAAACACTACTCTAAAATGTCAAAATATTTTTATGGCAGATTGTTGTTATCTTTCTACTGCAGAAAAAGGAAGATAGTCATAGTCCTTCCACATTATAGGGATTTGCAAAAAAGCAACTTTTTATGTCAGAGTAACACCTTTTCTTTAAATTTAGACAAAATGGTAGGCATCATCTCTGACAAATTAGGTCCCTTAACCAGGCAGTAATTAAGGGTAGCCTTTTACTCGAAAAAAAGCATCAAATACATGCCTCACAGGAGTTTAGTTGCCTTTTAAAACAGCTTGATGTGGGAGATAATATCTTTTAGTAGTGGTAACATTCTTAAATTTACATGTGCCTCTTGGGTGGTGCTAAATGAGTAACAGCTAGAGGCTACGGCTGCTCGCTTTTGAAAGCTGCTTTGGCGACATGAATCATTTACCTTAAGGGTTCTTTAATAGAATGCAGGTGGTCTTTTGGGAGTTAAGTTCTCTGAATTGAAGAAGATTGTCATGGGAAAAGATGTAGATGCCCTGGTTGTTCAAGAGACTAATATCACGGAACAAAATATAAAATATTATGATAATAAAAACTAAAAAGTGCACAGACTTTATAAGAAAAGACAGACAGCCAGTGCTATACTTATTGCGATTAAGCAGAATTTTACATAGCCTTAAAATTATTAAGGAGATTAATGATCATGATTGTGCAGAGATAGTGGCTATTTTCCTTTGGAAAGATAAAGTACAGTTTAACATATATGGAATCTATAGTCCTCCAAATAACAAAAATTTAAATTTGGATACACTGATGGCTTTTGAGAAATTCTATCATCTTGAGTAACTTTAACTCTGCCTCCCCTAACTGGGATTATGCATATTATGATAGTTTTGCAGAAATAGTAGAGGATTATACAGATTCAAATGAACTGTTCATCTTATATAATGAAAAGCATCTGAAGACTTTGCACTATAGTGGGAGACTAACAAACCCAGACCTGGCTATGATTACTTCAAATAATGTGGATAACTAAAAAATATGTGCTGGGTGAACCAAGTATTGGACACAGAACAAATTTTGTGACCTACACTACTACAGAGGTGATGACCAATCCCCCCACCAGTGTACATCACTTAAATATTTTGGCAATAATATTAGAATAGTATTCAAATTCAAGGTATATTTGAAATTTTAAAAAAGGAAGTCCTTTAAAACTAAAATACAAAACTAAGAAAACTCTAAAATGACCCTAAAATGTAGGATTACCTTATTCACAAAGCTAAGTTCCTTTTTAATTCTATCACACTTATCTTTGGTCTCATCTAAGGTTTTCTGCAGCTTTTCGATCTGCTGCTCTTTATTCGAGTTTTCTCTTTGCAGCTTTGTGCGATCTATTTCTGTATCTTTTAAGCGTTGCTCCAGTAATATTATCATTTCATCCTATAAAAGTAGAGATACTGTTAAATAATTAATGATCTTTCAGTTGAAAAAATTTATTCGAGTTCAGATTATAAAATTACACTGAACACACAAAATTAAAATTCTTCCTCAGGAAATCATCTGGAAAAATGAAAACAGGTTTGTAAAGTTTTCTGTTACTTAAGCTGCTCGTACAGCTTTAGCATAATTATATAATTTTTTTTTAAATTTATTTAAGTCTATTAAAAGTTAAGAATGAATATTATTGTATTTTATGACACATCTGGAATATGAACAGCACACATATTCCTAATTTCATTTTTGCATCAGCCTTTCTTAATCTTCCACACTAAGCTCTTTGGCTTGGAGTTAAATGTTATATCATACTAGAACCTTTAAAAATAAATGTTTCTTCATGTGTTTTTAAAAATCAACACATTTTTAAATGCCAGATTTAAACAACAAAAATTCTTTATTAATTGATAAATCTGAAATTTTGATTTAAAAATGAATTAAAAACTTTTTTTAAGTGCATATTAGCATATGCAGTTAGTACTTTTAATATTATTACAAAAATATTCAAAATGTTTTTTACTAGGAATATTTTCCTTTCATGAAATACAAACTGAAAATTAACACTTTTGCTATGACTAGTGTAATTTCTAAATCACGAATAATACGCCACATTTGTTTTGAAAGCAGAAACAGCACGAGGAGCTGAAATCTACAGAAGAATGATAAAGGTATATATTCACCATTAAATAATACACACTATATTTAGTTTCTTGTATAGTAATACTTAAATTCTCATATACAATATTATTTGGATGAAGCATGCAGTAAGTTGACTCCATTTTGAATCATGTGATGCGATGCCCTAAAACCAAATGTGCACATTTATCCTTTGCGATTATGATAGTTGGAGTTACTGCCTGTCTCAAAGGTTTTGCACAATAACATTTAGCTCATTTTTATCACATGTTCATAATAAGTTCAGAATTATAAATGCTTACATTAAAGTACTTATTCATAATTTTAAATGCTTACAGTTAAAAAGGTTATAATAATGCTTGTAATAACACTGCTAGCCATCAAATTATACCATTACAAAAGAAAATACACAAGAATTTGCCTAAAATTTGCAAGATGGAACACCATGGTAGAAAATGTAACATTTACGCAAACTATTTGTGTGAGTCATATCCTTTCCAATAGGTTTTAGAGAGAATGCAGAGATTTCATGCAAGGCAAACTGAAAAGAAAAAATTTATTTCTATTTTATGTCTTAGTTTGAAAAATGTTATAAGGTACATTTTATGTTAACTAACAAATTATGATTTAGATCTGTACTATCACTTCTTTTGTTAGCTCTCCCTGTGATGCAAATAAGATATGGTTATTAAAGGTGATTTTAGATGTTTTAGATATATAGCTATTGGAAGTGATGCTCACAGCTTTACTTCCTTTCTTCAGCCGCGATAAGATAGCCTTCCAGCATTAGAAATTTTGCTAGCCGAAGTAAACAGCACTATGAAAAGTTCGAGCCAAGCTTAGTTAGGCCATATTGTGTATTCTAAAGCTACAAATCCATTTTAAGTTGTAAATTGAATTTTCTGTCATCTGATACCCACAAGTAGAGGAGTTTGATTTTGTATTCAAGAGTTGTGCCTTTATGAAGTTAATGTTTTAATAAAAGATTTATTTAAGACCTTCACAGTACTGCTTTTTTACAGACACAGCAATAACTCACTTGTCAAAGTAGGTCTGAAGAAATGTTAAGTTATTACACACACATTACACATTACAAACAAACAAATTAGGGTACTATAATATTACCAAATGTGAAGCAATCAACAAGTAGGAAGTCTGAAAAATTAAGATGTTATGGGACAAAATTCATCAATACTACATAAAAAATAATAGTCACCAAAGAGGTCCCAACAGAAACTAAATTCATAAATGCAAATAAAATTTCTATTTTTCGACTACAAAAAACAGTGTCACAAAATTTGAAGATATCTTCAATTTCAAAGTACTGAAAAAAGGTATGAGATCTTATGCATACCAGCTTTTTGGTGATTTAAAGTGTACTTTTATGACACAATAATATCCTAGAATAAACATTTGGATTTAGCAGCTATCCCACCCCATAGTTCATATACACCGCTCGACACCGAAAATGCAACACTAAGAAAGAGTGGTCAGAAAGTGATGAAATTTGGAAAAAAGACAGAGACAGCAAGCACCAATAAGTGATCTTTATTTCAAAATGATAGTCAGAATACAGAGCGAGAAAGGCGTTGGCCCAGTAGGATGTAGGATTACCGCGGACAGCGATGCACGAAGAAACACATCTTGGCATAGAGTCAATAAGAGTGCGGATGGTGTCCTGAGAGATGGCTCTCCATTTCCTTTCAACCATTTGCCACAGTTCGTCTTCTGAACGAGGCAGGGGCAGAGTCTGCAAACGGCATCCAATTACATCCCACACATGTTCGATTGGTGACAGGTCAGGAGAGTATGGTGGCCAGGGAAGCATCTGTATACCTTGCAGAGCATGTTGTCAGATGTGAGCATTGTGTGGTTGGGCATTATCCTGCTGAAAAATTGCATTAGGCAACCCCTGAAGGTAGGAGATTGACACCGGCTGCAGTACATTAACCAAATATTATTGGACCGTAACAGTGCCTTGAACACGAACTAGAGGTGACCTGGAATCATAGGCAATAGCACCCCAAACCATTATGCCACATTGTTCTGCGTTCCCCAGTTACTGCCGGATTAGATCTGTCTCTACGTCGATGCCACACATGAATGCAGCGACTGTCACTGGATAAACAGAAGTGTGACTCATCTGAGAACACGACGTTTCATCATTCTGTCATCGACATCGCTCCAGTCTGATACCATTCTAAACGTTGCCGTCTATGCTGTGGGGTCAATGGCAGTCTTCTTAACAGACGCCGTGAGTCAGGCCACGTTCAACCAATCAACAGGAAATGGTTCTGGTCGACACGGGAACATCCAGGGTATCTTGCACATGCTGCAGAATCACGGCACATGCTGCAGAATCACGGTACAATCACGACTTGCAGGACCGCCACAGCTTGTCAGCGGATACGTCAATCCACGCGTGCTGACGTCACTCTGGCTGCACCTGCACCCCTCTTCTTCCCCCATTTCCTTGTTCCAACCATGTTCACCGTAGCCAATGCACCATGCTCGCATCCATGTGGGTATCAGCTGTGATTTGACGTAAGGACCAACCCGCCCTTCTCAGTCTGATCATTATACCCCTCGTAAAATTGTCTATCTGCTGGAAGTGCCTTTGTTGACAGCGGTCTGGCATTCTCTACTATTACACGTATCCTCTAGGACAAAACCCAACTTTCTTCGATAATTTGTCTGGCAGAAATAACGACACGAATATTGCCCATTCTGCACGTTCCTTCCCTTATATCTTACTTCATGTGCATCGGAGAGCTGCGCATTTCACATCATTCGCATAACTCTGACATGCGTCTATTCTTAAATTTGCATAAATTTCTGACCACTCCTTCTTGGTGTTGCATTTTCAATGTCGAGCAGCGTATGCAACTTGAGAAGTTTCTCTGCCAGATATCATTTTCAGCATTTGCAGACATTTTGCAGGTAAACAAAAGAAAGAAATATATTTAATGACATTTTTAAATAAATTCAGGTATTTTATATTTATTCAGCAGCATACATAGGAAAAAAATATGTGCATTAAATTTCGTGATGGCATGTCATCCATACTGCTAGAATTAATTTCAGGATTTTGCCAGAGAAAATTTCCTGAAACTTGAAAGTATTATTTACTAATAATAAATAAATTTAGAGGGAAGAAGTAGCATTAAATGATACGAATCACATAAAAATAAATATTATTACTTAAAAATTGAATTAGAATAATCAACAATATTTTAGCGAATATAGTTATATTTAATGGTTAGCCTAGATGACTGATTACTATTTTTTTATTTCTACTGCAAAATGACAAAAGAGGCATTTATTACAAAGGAAAAAAAAAAAAAAAAAAAAAAAAAAAAAAACAAGGTTTAAAAGATTTTGTGGTAAAATCCTAGTACACGGTAAGGCCTTGGTACGATTTTGAAAACTGTCGCCAACACCAAAATGACCCATTTACTGCTCATTATAATGTCGCCATATCCCGTGTGGGCTCTACTCTTATATGCATCCTAAGATCACCAAATGTGGCGATACGTGTTCTGGGCTGGTTTTTGGCGCGATTCCATGCTGTGGGATAGTTTGGTGGAAGATGCTGTTTGTATGGCAACCCTTTTGACATTGAAACTTAGAGATGTGGCGGCAAGATTTCAGTCGCGTATTTTAAATTGTGTGGAAAGTAAATTTAGTATTAAAAGGTACAATGTTGGAGTTGTTAACGATTCTTTTGTTCACGGGTGTATTTATGTGGATAGAAGTGCATTTTTTGGAATTTCTGTGGGAGTCAGAACTTTTAAAACGTAAATTGGAGTGTCCGAAATGCAGAGCTGATATGAGAAGTCAGATGAAGAATAGTGTTTCTGATAGACTTGTGTGGGTTTGCAGTCAAATGGTTGCTGCTAAATTATGTGGCTGTCAGCAGAGTTTAAGATTTGGATTGTGGTTTTCGTGTAGTAAGTTAACTTTGGAGAAAGTTTTTATTGTTACTTTCGAAATTTTGAATCACAAAAAGACATGTGATATAGCAAAATCATGGCACTTTTGTTGACAGACCTCATGTGACTGCCGAAATTTTATTCACGTATGTATTATGGTAAGTGCATTTTATTTTATTGTTTTTATTTCGTAGAATGTTATGTTCATTGTTTTTTTACTATGATTAGTTTATTTTGTTGATTTGTGCACAATGTATAGATTGTGCAATTCGTAGATGTTTTTTTTTTAAGTTTAAACAGAATGTGGTGTACATGGTATTCTTTAGAAATTTATTGTTGTTATGTTAATTTATTAAAGCGAGGTGTGTGTAGTTCATAGACTCTTTTGCTGCCTAGACTGTGCAATTTGTAGATTTTTTTTAAGTTAAAATATATCGCTGTGTACATGGATTCTTGTCAAATATTTTTGGTTAGAAACTTTACATTTTTGCTATCTAAATTTTTTGTGTTTTTGTTTCAAATTTTTAGCTTAAATTGTGTGTTCAAAACGTGGTTTTTGCATGTGCGAAAACCGTGTTTTTGGAGACATTTTAGGCTTAAGTTCAAAATGTAGACAAAAAATTTAGATAGTAATATGGCACCTTTGAGTTTCTTGCCAAAAATGTTTGGCGAGAAATTTGGTGACCTGAGGGGCTATTCTAACCAAAGAATGTCTATGTAAAGAAGCAAAAGTTCCTTAGACATAATGCTATTACACCGCTAGAAAGCGGGGGGAAAATTCACCAAAGGATTTGGAGATGGAACGTGGCGGCCAGAATTTCCCTCTCCACGATATATGCAGGAAATTGAGGAACACGTGTTAAGAAGCATTCTTCGACAAAATGTTTCTTCTTTGATTTTTTGCGATAATTTAAACAATTTTCATAGTTTTTTTTTTCTCAAAATAACTAATCCATTAATTAATTTACTTGCATGAAAAAATATTTTCTTTTGCTTTAAAGTTTAAAGAAATTTTAAACGAAATTCATTTTATGAACTCTTGATAACGCGACCTTCGAACTTCGACACTGGCTTCGAGCTTTGGCAACAGATAGTTCGCGCATGCACAGCTGTTTCCCTCTACGTTGGAACGAAGCCACTCCTATTGCAGAGAAATTTTCCATCTTAATAATACACATTCTTTGATTCTGACTTTCATGGTACTAGGATTAAACCAATTTTGTTTTATAGGGGAATAAGTATTTTGCTTAGTTCAACATGCACTGCACATGCGATTCTTGAGATTACTGGAAACCAAAGTTGCTGGAAACTTGCTTTGCCTATCTAAAAGACAATCTAATTGGAGCTGCGAAAATTGGCTCTATGCCAGCTGCCCGAATGATGCTCACGCGATACACAATAACTCCAAGAAAGTGATCACTTCCAACATCGGCACAAAACTCGCTTTTTTGGGGGGATCGGCGTATGAAATTCCCTGACTTTTCCAGATGTAGACTAAAATATTTAAATTCCTTGACTTTTCTCTGAATTTTTTGGTCAATTTACAAATTCAGTGACTTTTTCCGGTTTTCCAGGTAGCGTGGCAACCCTGTAAGTACCTACGGTTGAGCTACATTCAGCCTTACTTGCAGGGCTGTAATGGCATAGCTAGTCGTAATTTTCATAGGAAACATTTTAGGACTGTAGTTACTGAATGCACTGTAATTACTTTAAATCTTGCAGCATGAATACAGAAAACAAGAAAATGCTAATATCTGTATTAAGAATGAAAATATTACCTTATCAACACATTCACGAATTAAAGTTTCTAATTCTTCTTTCAAGCTTCTTACTTGAGCATTCAAGAACTGCACAGTTACTTCTAAAGTAAATAATATTGAACATGAGTTTATGCCATTATTTTGCTAAATATTTCTGTTTCACCAAAACAACACATTTTAATTATTTATCATAGTGTTAATGAAGATAAATTCTACGTTTTAGAACTTAAAAATCTAATGGCTTCTACTAACCAATTGAAATAGCACAAACAGCCAGTTATGTTAGAAACTTCTAAAAATATGAAAAACTTTTATGATTAGTTGCAATAAAATTATGCTTCACAGAAATATTCCAGATTTCTACACACTTCTTCTAGCCAAAAGGAGATTTGAATGTAATTAAGTTACCATTTGTGTCACAAATTTTACTTTGTATTAAGAGAAAAACAGAATATCTTTGAATATAAAATAGTAATATTTAAAATTGATGTAGAGAGCATTTTATATGCAATATAAACAATGGCCGTTTCTGTAAGAAATAAACAATGCTTATATTAACTTCCCCCCTAAAAGAACTTTTGATATGATCTTCAGGTCTTGGAGAAAAGACTTAGTTATGTAATACTTCTGGAAGCATGATTTCTAGCAAGAATTTGTCTTAAAACCTGATTTAAGTTCTAGATATTAATAAAACAAGAAATTCCAGTAATCTACACTTATTTTAAGACTCCCCCTCCCCCACAAAAATTTGATTTTCGGCATATTTCCTTTATTTGAATATCTAAACAAACTTCTTAATAAAAACACACTATGTTTAAAGCATATTTTAATCAAGAAAGTGAATTTATTTTATTACTTGAGTTCTTTAGCATCTTCTGTGTGTGCTTCAGCGCTCTCTTTTTATAGCAAACATCGGTCACAAATATCTGCAATCTTTTTCATTTTAGACAAAATTCCTGCTTTTATGTGGGAATTCCTTGGAACATTAATATTGAATTTATATAATTAACATGTGTAAATTGTTTGTTTGCATCTTTTACTACATTGAATTTCAGCTTAAATACTACTCATAGTGGGTGCATCTACGTTCTGGGTAACTAACTAGATTTTTACACTGGTGATGAATAGAGATGGATTTTTAAAATAGTTGTAGATTTTTCTAGATTCAAAAACAGCATACATATTAAAAAAGAGCAGGGCTCAACAAAACAAATTTTCCTTTAATAAATACAAAATTTAATCCCAGCACTTAAGTTATTATTTTAACTGTATATGCACAGAATGTAATGGCAGAATTACAGCAGGGATTCAATTTATGGAAATCCTTAATACTTAGGTTTTTGTAAACAGTATTTTATTTATTTATTCTCTCATTTAGGAGCATAAAAATGACTTCAAAAGTTATTCCACCAGAGGATAAATAGTATTCTATTCATTCTTTTGTAAAAGTACTGAAAAAAATTTTCATTCTTTTATAAAAACATTTGGATATATATGTTTTTACAAAAGAACTTACTTCTTTTCAATTTTCGCAAAAAATTTCTTTATCGTTAATCTCTTTTTCTCTCTATCGCTTCATTATCATTTCTGTTTTATATAACTGCATTAAAAAAACAATGATTTTGTAGCCAAGAAATCTTGATAAAATAATTTTTGCTCGGTTAGTTACTTAAACTGTTGTTTGATTACTGAACTTATTGTTTGATTAGTTACTTAAAAGCAAGTAATCCAAATTTAATATAAAAACTAGAAAGGGACAAATGCAAACAAAACTAAAAAAACATGATACATAATCTGCAAAATTTTCTAACCCATGCAACCCTTGTGCAGATTGTTGGAATTCTACTGTTTATTACTCAACAATGCTTTATAAAGAATTTATTTTTAGATATTTATATGATTTAACTTTTTAACATATTTTTTGAATGGAGTTTGTCATTTCCATGGAGTATGTCAATTTTATGCAAGTCGATAATGTACAGTACAGAAAACTTCTCACATTTTTACACTTCTAATGTAATTTTTACTTTCTTCTGATAGGTTTGAAAGATTCATAATTAATTTCAATGTGCACCCTACAAATTTTAATGAGCTACAAAATGCACAAGAAACATTCATTCCTTTTTGAAAACTATATTAAAAACACTTCTTTAGAAAATTTCCAAGAAAAAGATAAACAATAAAGCATTATTATTCTTTAAATTTCTTCCCCTCTTGCTTTCCTCTTAAATTTTTTATGTATTTAAGAGAAATATAATAAGCTTATATTAAACAAATGACATAAATCAATACAGAATTTTTCTGCATCAGAGCCAATGTAAATTTCTAACCACATTTAATAAAAGGCACAAAAACCTTTCATTCCAGCTCAACCAATATTATGGAACTCTATTTTAGAATGTTTGGCCTTGTTCTTAAAAATCATACTATTATTGATTTTTAAAAAGTGGAAAGACAATTAAATGCATTAAAAACATGACACTATTTTTAAAGAATTGGCATGAGTGTTTCTAATAATACTCGGTTTGAAATATAAAAACTGACAGCACAGAATGCTACACTTAAATTAATAATAAGTAACTGAAATATCACAGAATGAAGAAAAAGAGGCAAAAGTTTATTTAGGAATTAATTTTTGCAAAACAATTGCAATTACCAAAATTTTGTAAATTTTGCTACAACAGAATCAACATAAACTGTCAGCCTAATATATAATTATTTCACCAAAATTAATAATGAGCTTTAATGTTAGTTTTATCTAAAATAAAATTGCCCATTTAGATGATCATTTCACAAAATCAAGGTATAAAAAATACAAGCTTACTGCTTAAAAATAGACAGAGAAGCAGGAATATGTTTATCTTTTAAACAGTAAAGTATCTTTTAATTTCTAATAGTAGTAATGCATCTTCTAAATATTAAAGCATCTTTTAATTTAGATAAAATACAGAATGCTCCATCTATTATCTGAATGCTCTTGCAATGACTTCATTCACTGCAAAAAAAATGTTGCGTCAGTTCTCGAGCCTGAACTGCACTCTTGGCTTTATTGTTCAAGACATCATGCCATGCCACTACAGGATCGAAGATCAAGCCTAAATACTAGCACAGCAGGTAAAAATACTGGCCTTTGCTGATGGTGCATCTATTGGCAAATATCACAGCTAACAAATGCAAGCAGCATTCTCCAACTACAAATGATTCTAATAATCAAATATAGAGAATGCCACGAGACCAACAAGAGCTTATGGCCATAAACAAGCTGCTGTACTCATATACAAGAAATAATGAGCGAAATCTGATTAAATATATGAAACAACTGAACATGGAGCATGAATCTACACTAAAAGTGAAGGCAAAATGAGAAAAAAATCAGATTAATTAAATGGAACTATTGAGCATGCAATGCACAACTACACTAAAGGAATGGGCAAAATGGAATAACCAAACCAAATAACTAAAAATACACTATTTGTTAAAATCTGAGCTCTTTCTTGCAAAAACTATCTACAAAATCTTGCCTGTAAAAATTGTTTCCCCACCGTCAGTATAATAATCCGGAATGTCCCCTAATATTCCTCCTAATCCGCCTCCTTCCCGTAAGAGTGGTGCTAAAGATGAATTTCGAGACACAGTGGAGCCAAGAATCCTTTTGTTCTCTTGACTCAAATCTCTATGGCGGTTCAATAAGGAATCTCTGTTGGGATATCTTCTAGCAGGTTTATAACTTGACGTACTAGTCATCTGAAAACATACAGTACTTGTAATTTGATATCAGCAAAATCATTCCACCTTTAATTTAAAAAAAAATTAATGCAAAAGACACAAATATAAAAAATTATTCAGTTTTCCAAAGAATTATTTATTTTAACAAAAATCAATTTCTATGACAAAACAAAAATTCTCAGAAGAAAGCAAACTATATAAATTATTCTTATATCCATAAACTGGAGACCATTGCACTTTACATATATACAGCTATTTAATATGTCTCAAACTAGTTTACATATGTGTTATAGAACTTTAAGTGGTAGTTAGCGAGCCACATGTGGTATTTGAATCAATGTTACATAACTTGTGAATAAATTTTCCATAAATGTTTAGCATTATTATGATAAGAATTTGAAGAAAAAGTTTAACAGTTTAATGATTTTGTGTCCAATTTTAGATGATTTTCATTATTGTTAGAAACAAATGTGAGTAATGCCACAGAAAATCTGCAAATGGGGCTAATTAATTTATACTGTAATCTAAATAAAAGATTTAAAGATACATATTTGATTAATTTTTCTTTGTACTTTGTCAAAAGGTAAATACCCTCAGTTAATAATTTTTTGCAATAAGAATAACCACCTTGTTTCAGAGTGCACTTACAGGAAACCTTTTTTTTTCTATAGTTGAAAATCAATTAAGTATATGAAAAGAATCAAATTCACTAATGAATTTATGTTTAATATAGATTAAAGTTTCCTCCAAAGTTACAAATTTTATCAAAATCCAAATGCCATTTGGTGTTGTACCTGAAAGCTGTAAAAATAGAGAAATTTATAATTATATGCATACAGTTATATGTTTTCATTTTTCCTTTTTTTTTTAACCTGGCCCTAAAAAATTGGTGAATACAAGAATGAGAACAGGTTGTCATTATTTATTTTCAAGTTTTGTTTTTAGTTCATTTACTGGTTAAATCACCATGTTAGAAATATTTGAAATAAATATCAGTCTGAAATTTTAATATTTAGCTGGCAACACATTTGAATTACAAAATGTAACCAACAGAAATTTCTTGCACCTACCAAACTTCAGATTTCAGACAGAATAAAAAATATAATTGGAAGTTTTTCCTCTGTGTGATTATTGTTATGTACATTTTGATAAGTACTTAGTAAGCAAAATATTAAATTTAGCTTAAAAACTGTTGTTTTGTAAAAAAATTTCAGCCATTCAACTGGTTTCATATCATGCACTTGGCCTGCATGCAATTTGAATCTGAAACCACTGGCTTAAAATGATAATGGAACAAAAAACTAATAACTGAAGTTAAATTATTAAAATAGGAAAAATCAAACTTAAAGTTAATACAATTACTAGCATGCTTTTATCAAAACCAAATTTTAATATCTTACAGAAATGCTATTATGGAACATGACATCCATTGATAGAAAATTTGGCAGGCAACTATGTGGTATGCTATCATTCATATTAGTGAATTGTACTGTGGGTAAAGAAAGTATTGGCAATTGCCTATAATTTATTACATTAGCTAACAAAGGAAATGCTTGACAATTTTAGTCGGACATAACAAATACAGAAGGTAATAAACACACAAATTCTAATCAAACTTTAATTTTAATATGCCTTTTACACAAAATATACAACAAAAATGTAAATTTGCATGTTAAAAAAGTATTGGCAAGCTCATACAGCAAAATGTGAAGAAAAAATTTAATACTTCGTAGTCATACCCTTTTGCATTTATAACAGCTTGTAATCTGCTTGTCATAAAGAAAGCCAAAGTCTTAGCTGTGCTATTGGGAATTTTGTGCTCTCTTGCAGAAGTATACACTAAGTCCATCTTTACATGAAATTTTATGTTTTCCGACTTCTAGGTACAATTTGTAACATAAATTTTCAATAAATTTTAATTTTAAATTCATTTTGTCAGATGATTTAGGCGGTGTCTTTAACTGACGAGGAGCTTTATAGAGTAACCACTCCCAAATGCTTAGGGTCTGTTGAAACACAAATGATGTTCCTAAGCTAATTGTTTGGTCACCGAATTTCAAGTTATGGCACAATATGTCAATGTGTGTACGTGCTGTCATAATACCATAAAATGAAACACAGGTTACCAACACCATTTGCTGCCATATAGCCCAAAACCACGACACTCTCTCCACCATGTTTCACAGTCGGTGTTAAATGTTCTTTTTCCAGTTTGGTGTCTGGCTTTCTCCACATGTATTGTCGTCCATCACTTTCGAAAATGTTAAACTTTTATTCATCGGAAAAAATAACTTTATTCCAAAACTATTCTGATAAAATAACATGAGATTTTGCAAAATCTAATCTCTTTCTCCTGTTTATTTCTGAAATGAAAGGCTTTTTCCTAGCCACCCTTCCATAATAACTTCCTTCCTGTAAAACATTCCATATAGTGTGTACACTATAAGTTTTATGCGAAGTATTAACAACATCTTTAGCTGACTGGGATGACCTTTTCAATAATGCTTTGTTTTTCCCTTGCAGAAAATATTCGAGGCAATCTGCTTCTAACCTTATTTTCCATCGAGCCTGTCTCGTTGAACTTTTCTACAACACGTCTAACAGTAAATAAACTTGTGTTCAGTTGCATTCCTATAGCATGATAGGTTAAACCCTCATTTTCGAGCAGAATAATCATGTTTTTAACATTAACATTCAATTCCTTTGATGCCATTTTATCATAGCATTAGAAAACTATTGCTTTAAAAGAACACTGCAGACTTTATACTAACAGGGTTTCTTATCTATCTAAACACCTCAACATAACAAAATTTGCATAGCAGTTAAAAATTTGCCAATATTTTTCTGACATGCAAATTTATGTTTTTGCTGTATATATATTTTGTGTAAAAGGCATATAAAAATGAAAGTTTCATTAGATTTGTGCGTTTATTACCTCCTGTGTTCGTTATCTCTAACTAAAATTGTCGAGCATTTCGTTTGTTAGTTAATATGTTCAATTATAGGCAAATGCCAATAGATTTTTAACCACTGTATCTGCTAGATAAAATTACATTCCTGCAACAATGCTCTTTATGCAGAAATCATTTGTTCGTTTTTGTGCATTTATATCCTACACCTCTAATGCCATCTAGGCTCATTTATGACAACTAAGGGCTTAAATATCCCATATTGCGAATATATATCTTTTTGCATGACTTAAGTTCGACGAAAGACTGAAAATAAATATATTGGTAACCACAAGTAATAGATATGAAGAATGTAAACTATAAATGAATGGATACACAAAAATCATGATTACATTAATGTAACTATCATTTATTATTTTATGCTTTTATTTCAAGAATTGATTTGGGAACTCAGGAAAGAATAATTTGAAATTTTGAAAACTCAAAAAATAGGTTGGTGTTGGTGTATTTAATTATGGCAAAGCACACGAGGGCTATCTGCCTAAGGGGAGGGATGCCTTTCGTGGAGGACTTTCTAAGGGAAACTGGCTCGTATACACGTTACACATGGGGAAAACCACGAAAACGCCCATGCAGCCAGCCCGTTCGCGGGATTCGAACCTCGGACCGAACTACCAGTGTTCAGCGACTTTACCGCTCGGCCGCTGGTGGGCCCTCAAAAAATAGGAATACCAAATATCACATCTGTTTTATGTTTTATATTATTTAACTACAGCCTTACTTCAGTTTAATTTTAATATCATATATATATTTTAGTTGAGAGGAATTAACAGCATGTTTATTACATAGACCTTCTTTGTGAGTAAATAAAAACCTTCAACGTTGTCTCCTTCAATTATGTAAATCGATTCCGAAAACATCCTTCATGACGGAAATCCCATACCTTACATTACTTTGGCATACTTATTTATCTATCTGTGTATGATAAAAATTAAAAAAATTTTAGTGTTGTAAATTTAAATAAAAATTTTAACATGAAATGCTAGTCTCCCAAGAATAAATTTTTATTTTATATTTGCTTCAGTATAATTTTTGACTCGACATAAAAGTCCATTTTGGCATGGCTCCATTATTTTAGAAAGCACTATAATTTACACAAAATTTTAAATTTAGAGAAATTAAAATAAATCTTACCTTCTTCGGTTCTCTTTCTTCAAATAACACAGGACTAACACTAAATATAGGGAGGAAAATATCATTATGTTGGTTTTAATAAAAATAATTAACAATAATATGATCTGATATATTTTAATTTTAGACATGCAATATTTGCACATTCTCTTATTTAAATTAAGAAAATTAAGCTTAATAATCTAATTGGACACAATTAATTAACAAACTATTGTTTAGAAGCCAAAGATATTTCAGTTAAACATAAATCATAATATTACTTTAAGCGGCTATAATGATATGTATTAAAAAATCAAAATAAAATATGTTGTACATAAAATTTGTTGGTATGTTGTATTACTGTGACAAATAAATCTAATTAAACTTGTTATATAAAACATTATTGTTCTCCTTTTAATTACTTCCTTTAATTTACTTTCAAAGAATTTTTTAATACCAAAATAGCATAAAAATGAAAAACAATTAATTCCATATACATACACAGTACTTCATGAAGGATTACAAAACACTGCCACTGTAAATTAAAGACATTTAGCTAGGACTGCCAAAAAGAGTAAAATGTTTAAATTGTCATTTTAGAATCATAAAAACTTTAAAAAAAGTGGAAGAATATACTTTCATTTTAAATTTATTTGATACCATAACTGATTAATAAAGAGGAGAAATACAGCCACAAGACTACAGTTTTATAATGCAATGAAGAGAAAGATGGTAATCTCAGTATATATACTTACAGTTTTCCAATCATTAAAAGCCTGGTTTTTAAAAAACCAACAAATTCCACAAAATTATCACGTGAAAGATTTTATTTTTACAAAAATTAAATGCTTCATTATAACAAATTTTTTTAATAATAACAAAAATAATAATGAAGTTCTAAAATATTTATAAATTATGTCTTCACATTTGATAGTTATAATAAAAATACATAAATAATACAGTTACAAAGAAAATATATAATACATAATAATGAGAAAAATGATATGAGAGCATTTGAGATCTACTGTTTTAGATGCTCTAATGATACTATAAGATATAATACTGATTTACAATTGAGACCTAAACAAAACAGTAGTACCGTTTTGATCCATCACTGCTGGCACTTTTGTTATTCTGAGCATCAGCTTGCTCAGTGTGAGAGGTCCCATCAGTTTGTTCCTTAGAAGGAATTAAAAATAAGTAAAAAAAATTTATAATTACATATATGAAAATTAACAGCTAAATATTAAATTAACCATCTGAGCAGCATGGTTTTGGGGATCTGTCATGAAGACCTGTATTTAAACAGCATTTATAACTAAATTTGCCTAATTACTTATTTTAGTCTCTATTTTCATAAATTTATATTTATTAAGATGATATTCATATTATTAAAGAAAGTAAAAAAGCAAAATATTTTAAATTATAAGCTAATATATATAAAGTGACAAAAAATCTCATGACCGGATAAAGCCGGTCATGCCACTCAGAGGGTTAAAATGAGCAATCATAGTAAAATATTACAGATATAAAAGCTTAAACATAACATAAGAACTAGTTTAAATAAACTCAACTCATTTGCTTTCAGGAAATATATCTGAAATTTATATAATTAATTTATTACTCTTGATGCTTATCTATTAGTTTTCATACTGAAAATGTATACACTTTTCAGTCTTATTCTGACATCTAGGAATTACAATACTATACAAGGCATTTAAAAAACCATGACTAAAACCCACAATTTTTGTTTAAGAAATCAATCAGATGAGGTAGTCTTCCACAGTATAACAATTTTAGTAATGTGACACTGTTTAGTAAAATTATGCATCATTTCGATTTCTATACAGCCCTTCCAACAAAAAATAAATAGAAATTTAGTTTTTACAAGATATTAAAAAAAAACTAGTCTCTAGAGTGCAATGAAAAAATTGCCAAAATAAAATAAATTAAACCATTTGCAACTGAAAAGCTTCCATATCAGGGTTTTTGCAAACAAATGAATTTTACTAGATAGAAAATGTTTTAATTTAGCATCAGTTTGAAACTAATGCTCTAAATTATTTTATTTATTCTATCATGAAAGGCATTTTTAAAAGTATACATTTAAAAGCTTACATCCATAATTAAATTCAACAGTAGTAATAGCATTTATACAGGGTGATCAGCGATAAGCCCTAATTTCAAAATTTTAATACACCACATTTACAGTTTTTAGACAATTATTAAATACACCATTTTTACAGTTTAAATACACCATTTTTACAGTTTTCTAATAAATGTACAGTTTACCGCATAATTCTAGCATTCTTTGTTGTAGCGACATTTAATTTTTAAATCAGGGCTTATTCGCTGATCACCCTGTATATGCCCCCTCCCCAGTATTTTTAATCATTGATATAAAGGTTAATTTTGATAAAATAGGGATATTTTGAGGGCACTAATTCTGCTGATTTTTTTTTTTTCCCCTTCTCACTGATACTTTTGTTCTGAGATCCATACAAAAATTTTAGTTTTGCAAGCTTTTAATTAAAGCATCATGTGGCCAAAAACTTGCAGTCTTGCTTGACGCATTTTTTAAATAACATTCAAACGGTCAATGACTAATCTTTTAATACATATTTAATCATATAATTTTCTTAACACCAATATGGAATGTGTAAAACTGATCAATTTATGTTTGCATGTTTATATCATTATTTTAGAGGTAGTACAATTTCTATAAAAGCAAAATGCAGATAAAAGAATTGTTTTCCATCCTATCACATTTGCTAGTTATTCAATACATATTAAAGACTATTATCTGAATTGGATTATATATAGTAGCCAGTTTCAAATATACATATTAGATTATATATAACAGGCAGATGTGATTAATTGGTAGGAAATGAATCATACGCAGATTAAAGTGCTAGTAATTCCAATTGCAATATTTTTTAACTGATTTTTAACAAGCAATATTAGCCTTTCTTTTTTTGAGTTTACCATCTGATTAAGTGAATTTGGAATTCCTTACCTTCTTTCTCCTTTACACTCTGTACTTTACATATTAAAAAACAGTTATATTAATTGCATAATTTTCTTTCATAACAAAATTATTGCTACAATGAAACCAATAGTGCAACTAACCACAAACATTAAGTTTAATTTATCTCTCAGCACTGCCTTTTGACCTTATACATAGACCACTTTGACTGATAGCATACTGTTAATGCCAGAAAAAAAAAATTATTATTAAATAAATCGTCTAATATTTGCATTTTTAGATCACTAAAGATAAAGTATTCTGTTAAATAAAAGTTACATTTTTACAAGTGTGACATTTTGTTAATTTTTAATGACATTAAATGTATCAAAACATTACTGCATCGAGATATGCTACGTGCTGAAGATCAGTAATATTCCAGTGATTAGCCAGTTCAACTTGGCTCAGTGTTTATTTCAAATGAAAAGACTAAATGCACTTTTAAAAATTTTACTTCCACCCTAGAATACAATAAAACATTTTTCCTTAAATAAATGGTATACAAAGGTTTGAAAATTGCACTTTCCTAAGTTATTTTTGGCATGCAAATCCTGCATCAAATATAATTAACGGATGCTTTAAAAAATTGAAAATAACTGATTTAAGATTTGTGCAACATCAGCTAGAACAAATTACTTTTGCATTCCCATAAAATAACTGGAAACATATACACTGGACAGCAAATACTAATGGATAGGTATTTACACAAATTGATATTTAAGAACTTGAAATTACCAATTCATTTTCATGGTTTATCTCAGCATTCCCATTTTCTGTTTCATTCTTCTTACTACAAAAACATTTTTCTATTAATTTGGTAAAGACAGGCATAGTAATTAATATTTCTTTATGAAAAAAATAAAACACATGAATGAAAATTACATTCTGTCAGTTTTGTAATATCTTAAATCTGTCAATATGTGTGTGTGTAAATATATTAAAATCAGAAATATCAATGTAGTTACTAAAAGCACTATAATAGGAATCATCTCAAAAGACCACAATAATTTTCATATGAAGATTTAAAATATGCTTCGGAAATGCACTGGGACTAAATAATAATTAATAAACTAATATGAAGAAATCTCAAATTAAGACATCAAAATTCCGAAAAGAAATAAAAGAAAAAAGCCAAAGGAAGCTCTTGTACACTTCTGTCCATCCAAAATGCAACACAAAGAAGGATAAAAGCTATAAAAGGTAAATTTATTTCAGAGATCACACATAGTATGAATGTTAATCTATTTGAAACACAGTCTTATTTGAAATGAAGATGAGAAAATCATTAATGAGTGTTGCCTCCCCATTTGTCAATAACCGCTGCTATACGCTGCAGCATTGAGCGAAAGAAATTTTGGATGCCTTGTTGGGAAATGGCAGCCCATGCTGCCTCCACATGCAGCCAAAGTTCATCTAATGTACCAGCAGGGGGTGACACGTGGGGCTAGGCATTCTCCAATCATTGGCAAGACATGTTTGATGGGTGATAGATCTGCAGAACGGACAGGCGAGAGTATCAGTGCAATATGGTAGGCGAAGCAGAAAGCCTGAACATTGCGTGCAAAGTGTGATCACGCATTGTTATGTTGAAATGCAGCCATAGGCAACCCCTGAATGTAAGGAAGGAGAAAAATCTACAAAACCTCAGAAATACAGAGTTGGCTGGTAAGTGTGACGATAATGCATACTAGGAGGTGCACGAGTGGAATCCAATAACACCTCACATCATAATACTAGATGCAGGACCAGTATGACGATGCATAACACAACAGTCGAGCAGCCTCTCTATACGGTGTCTTCAAAACTGTAATCTGACCAATGTGGTTCCGTAGGTAGAAGCGTGATTTGTCCGAAGACACAACGTCATGCCATTCGAATGTGCATCTCCACCATTGCAAACACAAATGCCTATGTTTTAAAATTAAAGGTTGGTGAAGCAATGGATGCCTAGCAGACAGTCCAATGTACAGTAAATGGCATTGAAATTGTTTGTGCAGACACCGATTGTTGTGTTAAAAACTGCATCCATTGTGATATGGCTACGAATGTTGCAGTGTGCTCCATCAGTGTCACGTGCACAATATGCCTGTCTTCCGTGCAGTTGTGCAAAGAAGCAGTTGCAATTGGATCCTGTCCATCAGCCGTTGACTCATGCATCTACTAATTCCATATTTGCATGTCTGTTGCTTGGCTACATCCAACATGATAACCGATTTCCTGGAAAGATAATCCGCAGTCTCTGTATACAATGATTCTGCCTCGGTCGAACCAAAAACGTGCTCGAATAATGTTTGCATTTTTCTACGAGGCATACTGAGGCTGCATACACAAAAAAATCTCATGATAAGAACAATTCACGTTATTCAAAACAGCATTCTTTCCTCCTTTTACACATGGATTATAAGGAGCGCTGCAGTTGCCCATGACGCGTGTGTACTGAAATGGTTATCATTTGCATATTCCATAACGGTATACATATGATGGAAGTTTCATGCTGTTTGGACGCTTCCTTCATGGTGTTACATTTTGGATGGCCAGAAGATTACAAAGCTCTTATTAAGTATACTAGTGCATACAGTAAACGTTCAGTACTAAAACAAAATTGGATAGAAATAAACTTTCAAAAAAATTTTTGCTTTAGAATAACTTCCCAATTAACTGCTTTTTTGTTGTTGTTGTTGTTGTTTATAGAAAAAAATCACACACTGTCTTAAAAGAAAGATAAAATGCATTAGTGAACAGTTTTATTACACAAGATTAATGCTAATTTCTCTTAACAATGATTCAAAATATTGCTGATGAATTTTTTTTTTCCAAAATAACAGCCTACTTGATTTTACTTATCAATCTTCCAGATTCTGTAACCTTCCTTTATTTGAAAGATTAAGAACCAATTAATTTTTAATAGAAAACTACTCTAACCAGACCTTGCCAAAATACAAAAGCAACATTTCTAAGCTTGAAAATGTATTTTGATCATCAAAATGTACTGTATATTACTTGTAAAGGCATGCAAAAGACAGAGTTATGTATACGTACAAAAATGCACAGGGGAAAACTTACCTTTAAATTTACAAATAAGTAATTATGAAAATCAAATCAATTGAAACAATGTATTACAGATCAAATATACACCAAAGAGCCATTACATTATGACCATCCTGTTAATAACATGTAGGACCACCTTTAGCCCTCAAAACTGCCAGTACCCGGCATGGCATTGACTCCATAAGGTGCTGATAGGTAGTCTGAGGTACCTGGTACCAAGCGCTCACCAACTGGTCCTGCAATTCTCGCACATTGCGAGGGGGGTAGCGTGGCAGCACGAATTTGGTTTTCCAGGTAGGACTTCAAATGCTCTACTGGATTAATGTCAGGTGAATTTGGAGGCCAAAACATGACTTGAAAGTCACTGGAATGTTCCTTGAATCACTTCTTGACAATTCAATTCTTATAACATGGTGCATTATCCTGTTGGTAAACATCATTTCCCGCTGGAAATACTGTTGTCATGAATGGGTGAATATGGTCTGCAGTGATGTTCACTTAGTGCACAGATGGCAGGGATTGTTCTATGAGGATTATGGGTCCTAATGTGCTCCATGAAAATATTGCCCACACCATAATACCCCTGCCACCGGCTTGTCTACGTTCAACTGTGCATCCGAGAGCCAGGGTTGAAAATTGGCATATTAGCACATGCCTGTCGAACTTGAAAAGTTGCTGCATGTGGTTTTTCCCATTCATAACATTGTGAACCAGTTAATCTGAAAGACAAGTTTCCTGATAGACAGATATTCTGATGTGCCTTGTCACAGTTAAATAAGCCAATCCAATTTTATCTTCATGAAATAAAAAAAAAACTGAGGGCATTCATCAAATGACTTAACATACAGACATACAATACCATGCATTAAATAACAGTACATTATTTAAACCTTTGCAAGAAAAGTTAAATATGAAAAAATATTTAAAATATATATTCCAAATGCACTTTCATTCACATACTATTCCATGCTGGATTAAAACATGTAAGAATATCTAGACAAACACAAAAGTAAAATAGAATTGCAAGCATCTTTTCATTTTTAACACACAGGAGTACATTAGAATTAGATCAATTATTTTAAGCAGATTAGGAGCCACTATGAATTAAAAACACACTTCAACTAGAATTTAAAATAAAATACAAATGGCAAGATTGGATATTACCGTATTTGACGGCATATAAGATGTGCTTTTTTTCCTAAATTTGGTCTCAAAAAAGTTACCTGCGTCTTATACATGAAGGTAATTGCATTCAATAATTGTTTATTTGGCTTTTACGAAATGTGAGAACTAAAAGAAACCACGCTATTGAAACTTTTTTTCCTTGTGGTGGCCGTCTAAATAACGGTGCATCTTATATGCCAGTGCGTCTTATATGCCGTCAAATACGGTATCCTCCTGAAAGAAACATTAAAATTAACAATAAAAACTATACATTAAATATCAGATAATTTACAGAGTATATTGGGAATATGTATGATGATCTCGTGTATAAAAATATTCAAATATGACTTTAAATGCTAGAATAATTAAAACAGCCCCACATTTAAATTAAATACTTTTAAAACACATACGTATTATTTCTGTCTTCCTCTTTACTATCAGACCCTTCATTCCCATCACTTTGTTGGTTATCATCATTTCTAGGATGTCGGTTTTTAGGGCGAGCACCTGTTGCATTCATTCCAAAATAATGGGAAAATTCTAAGGTATGACAGTCTATAAAAAAACCTATGAACAGATTATTATGAAATAAAGCTGAAAATTAAAAAATCAGACAAAAAATTTAAATCGATGCATATTTTAAATAAAACTTAATATAATTTCAAGGATGAGTAATGCAAGTGCCTCTTTTTCAAAGGAAAAAAAAATTACTTTTTATACTGGCATGCATTTATCTTAGGTATACAACTAACATATGATATAAACTAAACTATGAAATTTAAAATGAAAACTGTGCATACTTATATACATCTGTATATATATATACTCTAAATTTCAAATGATAAATCAATTGAATAAAGCACAAGCAAATTATGTGTACATAAAACATCTTTTAAAATTATCAAAAATACAGAAAACAAGGCTCTGAGCTTAAACTGCATGTTTCAAGCTCCAGCAGTATACTTTGTTATTAAAACAGCTAGGAAAAGCATATATGTTGGGTAGACAATTTTGCCATGAATGCATAATAATGAGTGGAAAAGTCTCAATTTTTTTTTTCAGATGATACAAACAAACAGAAAATCTAAGAAGATAATCAAAACCAGTAAACACAATTCAAGCTTTGAAAAACAGGGACACATATACCAAAGTAGTTTATCATAGAACAGCCTTGTTTTCAAATTAACATTCTAGATCTGAAGAATCAAAATAAGTCAGATATATTATTTTCAGTTTTAGATGATGACACAGTTAAATTGAAAAGAAGAAAATCTTGTCATGCTATACAGCCTTAAGAATGCCTAATCTTACAATCCTTGCAGTCTGACTGTGGCTCTTTACTCTTGATGTAACACCAGTCAGATCTAACACAGCCCCACTTGAGTTCTTGTTTTTTTTAACTTTCCAAATGAACCTGACATAACTGGATAAATGGTCTGCAAAAATGGCTACCAAGCATAAAAAAGTAAAGTTAGATTTTTCTTGCATTTTTCATGTTTTTTTAGGACTTTATCAGCTTTTTTTTTTTTTTTTTTTAAGTTTTTATTGATACGTTTGTGGTATTTATGTTTTTGTTATTAAATTTTAGTCTATTGATAAGAAGTTTATGAATTTAGAAGTCAAACAACAAAAATCAGCGTCATATTTGCAGATTTTCACAGGACTAGTTTCAATGGTTTTACCGAACCATCATCCTCAGCTACTAAAGCGCAAATGAATGAGATAAGATATAGTGATTAGATAAGATAAGAATGGCTGGAAAGGAGTTAAGCTACTGGTGGCATCTATTGATAAAATGAGAACTAAAACATAATTTCTTTAAAGGCTGAAGGCAAAGATGGATTGGAATCAAAGTTGTTAACTGGAACAGAAAGATTTTTTTTTGAATGTGAAATACCTTTAAAATATCTAGTTCACCAATGGAAAATGTTTTTTTTAATAATGTTGGCTGCAAAAAAATTCAAAGTGTGATTCTCAGACCAACAATGCTGGGCAACAGAGGACTTCTGTGTTTCTTTTTTTCTAACATATGCATCATGTTCCTTAATGCGAAATTTTAGGGCTCTCTTAGTTTGACCAATGTAAATTAAACCACACTTGCAAGGAATTCATATCCAGAATGAGGTCCTTGAGTATGGAAATTTCTGTAAAATACGTGCAATTTTATAGCCCTCTGGAAAGAAAGGAATGGCAACAGAATTCTTATAACCTGCTAAAATGAGACTGCCTTTCGGTGTGTTGAGATGATAATTTTTTAACTGCTTGATTGATAACGTTGGGTGAAAAGCCTCTGTCAATAGCTACTGCTTTTGAATAATTTAGTTCTTGATCAAGAGCCAATTTAGAGGAGCAAACTTGAAGTGCACGGAAAACATAGGGAATAAAATGAAGCTAATTTTTGTTTAGTCAGATGACATGATTTGAAGTGTGGTGGAAAACAAACCAATGAAGGTTTACGATAAACCGTAGTACTAAAGTTGGATGTGCTACATCTGACCAAAATGTTGAGGAACGAAAGAGAATTGCATGTTTCAAGTTCAAAAGTGAACTGAAGAGTAGGATCAATGGAATTCATTGTGGAAAGAACTTTATTTAAATCATCTTTATTACTGTCAAACAGGGTAAAAGTATCGTCTACATAGCATTAAAGTTTATGGTCAATAGAAATGAAATAAAATTTCACATAACAAGAAGAATTCAAGATTCAGTAATTATATGAAAACCAATAATTTATAAATACTTCAACAATAATAAATTCTGCACAAGCAGGTTTCCTAATTATTACAAAATCATCATAATTTATGTCCCAAAGACAAGGAGCTATCAAATACTGATAATAGGTTTCATTTTAAAATTTTCATATTCATAAAATTTCATATATGTTTGGTATCAATACATTTAAGGTAACTGATTATGTTCGATACTCGGTATTTGACATTTCTAATTATTTCCCAATGTTATAAATTTCTTTAATGTAAATAAGCTGTAATCATCATTATGAGCTTTCTAGATATTACAAATTACTTTAAAACGAAAATTATAAACAATTATATACATATAACTGAAATTATATTACTGGCATTTTAATTGGTACAGTCAAAAGTCATTAATCCGGACTCATCGGGACTTCGGCGATTCCGGATTATAGATCATCAGTTTAAATCTGGTAAGATGGCATGCAGAAATTATAGAATTTAAAATATGAAACCATAATTTATGAATAAGAGCAATTATGATCTAAAGGGTATCAAAATTTACAAAAGAAAAAGCTAATATTTATTGTTTACTTTATTAAACATTTCTTCAATGTAAGTTGTTTAATTTGCCCGTTTCATGTGATAATACTTTCTCATTAATTCTATTAACAGACTTAATTTCTTGTTTAGTTACAAAGTTCCGCTGTTCAAGTCCTATAATTGCTGTGTTGAGAATATCGACTAATTTGTTCAATCGAAATTTTTTCGTTCAATAACCTCTGAGTCACTTTATTCACTATCGGAAGCGAATTATAATGACAAGGAACTTGATAAATCATATCAAGACTGAGTACATCGAGATGAATACTACATTTAGTAAAGAATTATAAGCCAAATAAAATAAAAACATTGCTCTGAAGATAGGATAGTGCTGACAGATCATTCCAATTCATTGCGCGCGATCGGGTCCCCCCCCCCGCAGAGCAGCGTGAAATTGATAAACATATTTCGAATGATTAGATAATCAAAGGCTATGCCTTTATCCGTTTTTTGCAGCAATTTCACTTTCTGTTTAAAATGATTTCGAAAAATACTTTGCTTTGTAGATCCTTACGTATTATAATGTATATTGGAAATCTTTTTGACATAATCGGAATTCAGCTTACTTTTAAAAAATTGCTCTAACAGTCTGGAAAATAATAAGCTGGATCCAATTCAAAGATTAAGAACAACGCAATCTGAACATTAACTGAAAAAAATAATTAGATAGTTTTAGCTTATACCGTCCGTTATACATTAAACGCGCATGCGTAAACGTATTATGCGCATGCGCACATGTATATTCGCAGCCGTAAAGGTTTTACGCGCACGCGTAAACGCCACGCATGCGCAGAAAGTTTTCAGCTTTGAGGTCCGGATTATGGGTGTCCGAATTGACGACTTTTGACTGTATTTTGATATCAAAGTACTCATTTAAAGCACAGGGCTCATTGACTTCTGTCAGTAAATATTAACGTAAACATAACTATTATAATGACAACAAGCTAATTTTAAATTATCTTGTTTTATAGGTGTGTGAATTCATGAAATTCTGCATCAAAAGTCACCTGAAAAGAAAAAAAGCTTGTCTAGAAGAAAAATACCTGGAGAAAGAAATAGGAGAAAGTTCAAAAACAAAAGGAAAAGTACAACAGTGAATGATTGTTTGAAAACTTAAGGGAATTCAATTATTGCCTAGAACATCAAAGTTTAGAAAAATTTTAGATGACTGTGCATACTGAAAAAGCATTTAATTGTATCTAATTATATTAAAAATATCACTATAACATCTATTGGTAAATTTGCTTTAAATTTCAGAATTAGTAATATGAATATGTTTCTAGAAGTATTAAAGGTATCTGAAAGCGTGTCCCATAATAAAATGGAGAAAATATTCAGAATTCTACAGAAACTGTGGATGATATGCTTTCAAAGTTGAAAATCATATTACCTGAAAAAGAATCTGAACAAAACTTCCTTTCAGAGGAAACTCAGTGTGAACAAAGAGAATTATCCATATACTCCAGATTTACTTATTTGGTTAATCTTCGGAGATTTTTTGGTGAAAATTTGGCCACCAACCCTGCTACAGCAACTTGCTAGCTTTTTTTTTTTTTTTTTTTTTTTTTTTTTTTTTTTTGGACACCATTTTGTTTTCACGAAGTAAAGGCATGTTTTTTTTTTTAACATTTTTTTTCCAACAATCTGCTAGCTGAATTACGCTTATGCTAGAATTTTTATGAAACAAAAGTGCTTAATCATGAGAAGATTAGGCGCAAAATTGGAGAGAAGTGCAGAATCGCCCACTGCTTCCGCGTTTTAAATTGCACATACACGGTATCATCCATGTACACATCGACTTAGTTTCACTTAAAAAAACATCCCAGAATTTACAAAAATGGCATTGCGCACACTCTTGACTTTATCCATGTACACTGCTAAAGTCCTAGCTAGTAACCTTTATCGCCTTACCAAAATGTCGCGAAACTACCTGTTACCATATTCCAAAGATTAGCCACTTATTTTTTATAGTTTGTTAAACTTGATCTCACAACATGCATATAAGTTTTTACACCGTTTCGGTTACACTGCTGTTCCTCATCATCATACTGTTTGTATAACTTGCCAAATTTTTCTATTAATCTCATTACTGAGCAATTTAATGATGATTTTTTAGGATAGGTTAAACAAAAATGCACTGCATGCGAGTCTCTCGATTCCTGAGGTTAGTGGAAACTTGCTTTGCCTTTAGCGTGGCAACCCTGTATTTGATACCGTATAAATGATGAAATAGAAAGAAATATCTTAAGAAAATACAGTCAAAAGTCGTTAATTCGGACACCCATAATCCGGAATAATCTATAATCCGGACCTCAAAGCTACAAAATTTCTGCGCATGCGTCGCGTTCACGCATGCGCACAGGCGTTTACGAGAGCGCATAAGACCCCTTACAGCTGCGAATATGTTGTGCGCATGCGCGTTTAATGTGTAACGGAGTTATACGCTAAGCTAAAGTTTATCTAATTCAGTTAATGTTGCAGATTGTGTTGTTCCTTAATCTTCGAATTGGATCCGGCTTATTATTTTTTGCAGACTATTAGAGCAATTTTAATAAAGTAAGCTTGAACTTTCGATTATGTCAAATAGAATTTCCGATATATATTTACTACAAAGCGAAAGTATGTTTTGAAATCCGAAATCTGTTTATCAATTTCACACTGCTCTGCGGCAGAGGGGGGGGCAGAAACGTCATTATTAGATTATGATAGATTAGAAAGATTATGTCAAATAGAATTTCCGATATATATTTACTAATATGTAATTTGTATCTACAAAGCGAAAGTATGTTTTGAAATCCGAAATCTGTTTATCAATTTCACGCTGGGGATTGGAAGTTGATCTGTCAGCACTATCCTTATCTTCAGAGCAGATGTTTTTTTTTATTTGGTTTTATATTCCGTACTAAGTGTAGTATTTCATCTCGATATACTCCGTCTTTGATATGATTTAAATCAAGTTCCTCGTCATTATAATTCGCTTCCGATAGTGAAGAAAGTGACCCAGAGGTTATTGAAAACGAAAACATTTCGATTGACAAATTAGTCGGTATTCTCAACACAGCAATTATAGGACTTGAACAGCGGAACTTTGTAACTAAACAAGAAATTATGTCTGTTTAATATAATTAAAGAGAAAGTATTATCACATGAAACGAAGCAACTTACATTGAAGGAAATGTTTAATAAAGTAAACAAATAAATATTAAGCTTTTTCTTTTTGTAAATTTTGATACCCTTTAGATCATAATTGTTCTTTATTTCATAAATTACGGTTTCATATTTTTAATTTTGTAATTTCTGCATGCCATCTTACCAGATTTAAACGGATGATATATAATCCGGAAAAATCGATAATCCGGAATCGCCGAAGTCCCGACGAGTCCGGATTAACGACTTTTGACTGTACTTATCTTTTACAGAACACCTACAGTCCTTTTTTAAACCTAATGACCGTTTATTAAGTAGTTACTTTGATAGAAATTCAGCTGTATTCCAATAACAGCTGTCTTCATGCTCAATATCTTAGTTAGTAGATCTGTATGAAGTTGTTTCATAGTTAACAATGCTATCCTGTGAAGCGATTTTTAGAATTTAAAATAGATTTTAGAGCAAACATCTCTAGTTAACCATGGATATTATTTTTTTTGGAACTACTCTGATATGCGCCCTCAAGTCGCCAAATTTCTTGCCAAATATTTTTGGCGAGAAACTTTACGCTGCCATATTACTATCTAAATTTTTTGTCTACATTTTGAGCTTAAGCCTAAAATGTCTCCAAAAACACGGTTTTCGCACATGCAAAAACTACATTTTGAACACACGATTTAAGCTAAAAATTCGAAACAAAAACAAAAAATTTAGATAGCAAAAACGTAAAGTTTCTAACCAAAAATATTTGACAAGAATCCATGTACACAGCGACATGTTTTAACTTAAAAAAACATCTATGAATGGCACACTGTAGGCAAACGAACGAATCTACGAACTACGGCACACCTCGCTTTAATAAATTAACATAACAACAATAAATTTCAAAGAACACCATGTACACAGTTCTGTTTCAACTTTAAAAAACATCTATGAATTGCACAATCTACACTAAAAACAAATCAAGAATATAAACTAAAATAAATTTCAGACGATTCAAAAAACAACAATAAAAAACGGAAATTCATACCAAAACAATGAATATAACATTCTACAAAATAAAAACAATAAATATAAATGCACTTACCATAATGAAAGCTTCTTTAAAAAGCAAAATATCTTCCCCCTATCTTCTCAGATACAGAGCATGCAAAGTCCAAAATACATTCGTTAATAAAATTTCGCCAGTCACACAACGTCTGTGAAGAAAACTTCTATGATTTTGCTATATCACATGCCTTCCTACGATTCAAAATTTCGAAAAGTAACAATAAAACTTCCTCCAACGTTAACTTGCTACACACGAAAACCAAGATCCAAACCTTAAACTCTGCTGACACCCACATACTTTATTAGCAACAATTTTACTGCAACCACCACAAGTCAATCATCAAAACACCATTTTTCGTCCGAGTTCCCATATCAGCTCCGCATTTCGGACACGTCAAACTCCGTTTTAAAAGTCCAACTCCCACAGAAATTCTAAAAATACACTACGATCCCCAAAATACATCCGTGAACAAAAGATCGTTAAACAACTACAACATCGTACCTTTTCATACTAAATTTACTCTGCACATAATCTAAAATACGCAGCTGAAACCTTCCCACCACGTCTGTCTTTCATCGCAACACAGGCCATTTCAAAAACACACGTGACACGAACCAACTAGCAATTAAGAAACTACTCCACCAAAAGACTTTTCAACGTTGACATGGTTGCCACACAACACGCAATCGCGCCAAAAACCAGCGAAAATCACACATCGTCACATTTGGTGAAATTAGGGCGTTTATCAGAGTTGTACCTTTTTTTTATTTCATTTTTGAATATTACATACAAAGTATAAATTTTTATCCTCTATTTTTAGCAAAAGAATTTATAAAATTCTTCTTTATTTTCTTAATACATTAAATTTAGAGAGATATGAATTGCACTGTTTATAAACAAAAAAAAAAATGTTGAATCTTTCAATAAAATCCATTCAAGTATCTGTATCAAATAGTGAAAGCAATGTTAAGTAAGATAAAGTATATTTTGTTTCGTTGCTCTCTCGGAGCTTCAACTGAGACAACTACTCATGACATCACAATCCAGTATATGGCTTTCTTCTGTTATACGGTGTTGGTTTAACCTGCTAGACAAGAGTGTTTTTGGGACCCTTTTTCTGTAAACTGAAATAGCTACATCATGATAGGCCATTTCACAAAATATGCTTTTTGATATAAAAAAATCTTGATTATATGGTATCGTGTCCCTCTGCACTTCGCACACTGGGCAGTCACCTTAGCTTTCTTCCCTTATATCTGCTGCTGCATATATCCTATTAAATGATGATATCTTTCAAAATTGAAATGGAACAAGTTTTTTTTTTTTTTTTTTTTTTTTGAATTTTGAATTTTGTGTGCATCTGTCATCAGTTGCAATATTGTAGCATTTTGCAACTTGGAAATAAGGTAATATATACTTTCAAGTATTTATGTATAATTTCTGCATGTCTCTTAGTCTGTAACAACAGTTTAGTTTGATTTTAATATTTATTTTTTTGATTCTGAACAGCAGAAAATATGTTCTACAACATAATATACTATATTCTTTATTAAGTCAAAAAATGCTTAAGAAACATACAAAAAGCTCCAAAACTGACACTGAACATCTTTGTTTGATCCAAAACAGGCAACAGATATCCAATTTGGATACACCACTGATGTCAGAGTTGCCTTTACACTCAGTATTTTAGGTTTATGTTCTAAAGTTTAACATAACAAATTATGAGCAATCATTGTTTAAATCTTTGCAAGCCCTTTGCATATTCATCTGTTTTTGTTCATATTATCGATGAATTTACTATAAGTTGCTAATTTCAAATCACATTCGGTGGATATAACATAAAATTTGATGTGAGCAACTACATGCCTGAGCAAAGTACATAAAATATAATACACATAAAATTATATATGTAAACACATATATAAATACATATATGTATGTAACTGCATATGTAAATTACATACATATATGTAAAATTATTTCACTGCTTAATTTGGCTGCATTACAATATGATATAAAACCTATAGAATAAATTATATTTTACATATTATCAAGATTTTTCAGAAACTTTATTAAAGAGCAGATGTTTCTCAAAAATCATTTGCCTTGAGTTCTGGCTTTTTTAAACTGGTAGCTAAAAATTATGATAATTTCTTATTGATAAAGCAAATTTCTAGATTTATAACCTTTCTTTTTCATTTACAAATCAGTAGCTCTGAAAAGTGGGTAATTTAGCTAATCTTTATGTCTTATAATGAAATGCCTTAAAATGAATGTCTAAATGCCTGCCTATAAATTCATTCATAACGAAACCTTTGGAAAATGTTCTTGAATATATTTGAAGAAATGTGCAGCCACAGCCTACAGACAGAAAGTTAGAGTGCAGCAGTTAAATATTTTAAATGATATAAGATTTAAATTGCAGTGGTTGATGATTATATGCAACTGAAAAAAATTATATCATTCATTATTTATATTTTGCAAGACAGTGTTCTGGCAAAATATTTACACACTACTTTTGTCATTTTCCTCGATGTAAAAGAGAACTTACCTCAAGAAACTGACTATGTTCACAATCTTCAATGAGAATATCTCAACAAAAAATTCATTACAATCTGTAAAAGCAGCATAAACAAGTATAATATAATCAAAATTTACCTATTACGTTGACATACATGATGGCAGTTAAGAAACATTTAAAAAGCAGTTTAAAATAATTCAATTTAAAATTAACACATTATGTCTAATATGATAATTACGAAATTCTGCTACAGCAAACGTCTTTCCACTGAACTAATAATGCGTTTTTTAAACATGGGTGAAATCTTTTACAAGCAACCGCAAAACTATAACCAGATATTTACAATTAGATATAAAGAAGTGACGGAAAACGTGGCTCTGTTTAACATAAAACCTCAGTTCGGGAATTCAAACATATTTCGAAACAGGTCAGGCTTAGTGTTACGATGTTTGTAAAACTCTCGCTGTTTCTGTTTCCATAGTAACAAATCAAACTTTTTGTTGCCATTCTTCTTGCAATAAAGCTGCAACGGAAAAAATAAAAATAAAAACCCTTTCAAGGAAATGAAGAAAGCTAATGCAACCATTCCATATAATTTGCTGGAATTTCCAAACAAAAAGAAACAGAGAAAACTGAATACAAAGCATACAATTTCCTAGTCAGATAAAATGGGATAAAGATCGACGTAATAATTTTAAAATGCTCTGAAACCTACTTATAACATGAAATAATATTTTAATGATTGTTCTAAACTCTCCATCTCTAATGGGACGATTACACCAAGAAGGTTAGAATAGAAGGAGGGAGGGTTCGCAATTTCCTCCACTATCGGGGAATGAAACCCTACCTAAGGCTTCTATAACCCTACCTAACAAGCAGCGTTCCTGTTTGTTCTGTCAATACATTGCAGTGAAACGTACATATTTCTAAGCTGTTCCATGAAGGTATTTTCCATTAAAAATATGTTAAAATTTTAAAGAAATGCTCCGCTATTGTTAAATTTTTTGTTTCAAAGAATAAAGATGATATCCATAATTTACTATGTACAGAAAATTATAAAGAAATAGTTCGAAATCTAAATGCATGTGTATAACATTAAAGCCTTTAAAAATGATGTTTCTGCATATTTCAAGGATTTATTTAGGTTTTATTAGCAACCTGTTGGGTGCACTTTTTCAATTTTTCCTTTAAGAAGTGATAGTTCTGATTTATTCACAATATTATCGTAATTTATTAAAGAATCCTTTCATATGCATAGTTTAAGAGATAGGAAAGAAAGCTATTATATTTTAGTATGCTTAAATATTTCAGATTTAAGTTGCGACACACTAAAATAGAAATTCACATATTTAACAATAATTATCTAAAAAATAATCACAGATTGCATTTTTTTAACTGAAAGTTTTAAATATACCTTTTTCAGAACCAACAACCTTATAACAACAAGAAAATAAATATTAATAAAAAAAAAACAGATTTATGTGAATTTAATGATATCAGTTTATCCGTGTTTCATATTTATGAATCTCAAAAAATTGTCTTGAATTAAGCAGAATTACAGAAATACCCTATAAAAATTTTTGGATACGTCTTTCCACATGCTCAGTTGTGTTAATATTTTACTTAGTACTTTTATCGCTATACTGCCCAGAAGTTTGTAAGTTTACGCAAATGCTTTTTAAAAACAGAACAGTTTATCTTGATCAAATGCTATTAGTATTACCTCTCACAGCGTACTTTTTTTTTATCAAAATAGGCTGAAAAATTGCGTATTTTTTATTACATATTTCAAATCTACATATATTTTAGAGTTAAAATATGTGTAAATTTTAGAGTTAAAATATACAAAATTTTTTTTGTAAAAGAGCTTTTTTTTTTTTTTTTTCAATATAGAATTAGATCATAGAAAAAGGTTGTCAGATTACTGAAATTGAAGAATAGTGATATAAAAGGAAAATTTTGAAAATTTATATTGGTTAAATTATGATTTATTGTATAAAATACAAAGGTAAAACATATATACTAATGAAAATATTTGCATATCAATTTTGCATCACTACTGAACGTTTTCAATAGAAACTGAATTTTCAGATTCATCACTATCTGCAGAGGAATCCGAAAAATTGTCATCAGTTTCACTATAACTGTCTTCAATATACTTGAAATCAGAGTCAGAACTACTATCAGGATCGGAAATATCGTCAGGAATATAGGTTATATCACTCGCGAAACGTTTCCTGCCAGACATCTTTGAGCTCTGAAAAGCGTGCACAAAATGCTACATTACGTATTCTTGTATATTTGACAGAAAATGTGAACAATTAACGCCATCTGTTAGCCCACATATAAATAAACAATTAAACATCACAGAAAAGCCGAAAGGAAACCTTGAAGGGCGAAAGAGAGGGTTGCACAGTTAAATACACAACAAAAATTCATCCCCGCGGAAATTTTGCTTCTTCTACGTTGCCCGTGGAAATCGCGGGATGCGCAGAGAGAGGGTTAACACCTTTATTATTCATAAAAATAGTAACAACTGATTTCTTACTTTTCATGAAAATTTTAAAACGAATTAAGCAAAACGTTCAAATTATAAAGTTTAAATCACTGTTTGCTAAGGAACAAAGATACCAGCTATAAACAGAAACATTAAAATGTATTTAACATATTTTGATTAAGTCCTTTTTTTTTTTCACATCTGGAAAGAAAATAACATTGTAATGTTTTTCAACATATTTATCAAATTACACACAAAAGAACCTAATATTTACGCTTGAAAGAAATCCTAGGAATCGTTTTTGAAAATCGATTTGTGATACTTATGCAACACAAGATGACATTATTCATAAAAAATGTCACAATGACAGATTTCCTTGCACAAGTCACAACGACAGTAGTAACATAGCCGCCAGGATTCACGGTTTCAGTTGAACCTTCCCTCCTTCTGTTCTAACCTTATTGGTTTACACTAGCAGAACTTTAAGCCGAAGAAAAGCGCTTGAACTTAACGGTTTTTCAACGGAATTTGTTTCATATGCTAGGGAAATGTTTAATTCTTGAAATTTTGAATAACATTATGGCTTAGGTTATTTATTTTTTAATTTTATCTCAAAGAGTGTGAATGCCTAACCCCCTTTCTTTATTTTTGTTGAGCTTTCAAACTCGCCCGCAGTTCTTTAATTTAAAGTTCCGGTAGTGTAAATGGCTTTACACCGCATATTTTACGATTTTTCTTTGATTTTCTTCGAATTGCGTTTGTCTTTCCAACATGTCTTCGAACGTGAAATTAGACAGAGATAGGAGATTAACTATTCGAACTTCGACGTAGACATTGACCCGGCGGAAATGAATCAGCTCTTAACGGTCTTGTTAAATAAGGCTCACATCAATTAAAAATGAACTTTCTTAAAGTATTAAAGTTTCTGTCTGGAACCATTTTAACCAAATCTGTAGGGCCAGAGAAAGGTTCTGAAGAATAACCGAGATAAGAGTACACATATTTACATAATACTTTTGTCAACTTTCTATCTTTCTGTTCCATAGTAACAAATCAAACTTGTTTTAATACCTGTAGATGCCTTCATTAGGTACTATGTCTTTATCATATATTCATTTCAGAAGACACTTTAGTTACTTCGCAACACACTTTCTTTATGCAAAAAACATCCTCACTCGTATAAATACGTACAATTCTACTACCGGCTTTCACAGTCTCATCATTACAATTACTTAGAGTACATCTAGTCCCCTGTTTGACTATGATTAAGTTCTACAATCTCGTTTCACCTCATCCCTCCCCCTATATTACAAGTTTATTGTATTTAGGGTCGTCAAATTCTGATGGGCAGACGCAAATGTTGTGGCACAGCTATTTTTTTTGGGGGGGACCTGGTAGTATCAGTAGCAGGTTCCGTGGATAAAACTTACGGTATAGCTTTGGGCTCAGAAGATGACACAGACTCTGGTGGCTGCCCCAACAGCACGGCACGTCGCTGTAACATTGCAAACGTGTCGCATTGTGATGACCTCAATGTCGCAGTAACGTTGTAGGAATGGCTTAATGTCCGCTTTTTGCGACGTCACATTGCGAAGTTGATATGAAGTCACATTATGGCATTGTTGTGAAGTCACACTGTGACATTGATGCGTAGTCGCGCTGCAACGTTGTTGTGAAATTACACTGTGATATCGTTGTGAAGTCACACTGCGACATTCATGTAAAGAGTGATTTCGACTTTAATATAACGCCATAGAGTGACATGAATGCAGCATAGTAAAGTGTGATGAATATAATGTCACTAAAGATGTAAATGGATGTCACGCAACACTGGATTACTTTCTAAGTGATCAGAGTGGTTAACTCCTATTTTAGAGAACATGTAACTAAAACAATGTTTTAATGATCCAATAAGGTATTATACTTTTCAGGTATTAAATAATCCGTAATATTTCGAAATGTTTTAAATAATTAAAATATTCCAATATATCATTTGAAATTTTCTCATCTTACTGAGGTTTTCTGACCCATTAAGGTTATAACTGTAATCCATTTTATTTATTACAATCTGTATAACTAAGTGTACAGAAAATGCAGAAAGTATTACAATATATATGATAAAACAGTGATCATATGGTCATTTGATCATATGGTATTTGATCATATGGTATTTGCAATGTAACCGTGTTACATTGCAAATACTTTTGAGTATAATCTGTCCAGAAGCTACATAATTTTGCTTTCATTCTTTAGAATTCTATATTTAAAGCCAGTTCATATTTTTCCAAAATATCTAAATTGTATTAAAAATCTGAGTTCTTATTAAAAATTTAACTTTATTTCTTAATTTAAAACCATTTTTCTCCACTTTCAAAATAGAAATATTTCAAAAAAAATATTTTTTTAATTTCAATGTTTATAATAACGATATTTCTTATAATAATAACTATATTTCTTAATTTAATATCTTTTTTCCCCCTCCTTCTAAACAGAAACACCGTAAAAAATTGCTATTTAGCTTGGAATATTTTTTTTAGCAGTTTAGCTTTTAATACTGTTTTCTGTCCTCCATTTCTTTCTTCCTTAATTGGTTTCCTTCCAGAAAAAGAGCTAAATTATTTTGATAATTGGATGAAAGAGAAACCGTTTTAGTACTTTATTTACAGGACATTTACCTCAATTTTAGTACTATATTTATAGGACATTTATCTATTTTTATCATGTTATATAACGAAATATTTCGTTTTGAATTAAAAGCTTTTATAAATCAACACAATCGTAGTTTCCAAATTGGCGATTTGTTGCTTAATATATAATACTGAACAAATAGTTATGGGTACAAAAGTCAGTAGCTGGGAAACCTGGTTATAGAAACTAAATTACAAGAAATAAATATTTATACTTAGTTATATAAAACGGGCATTCTCTTTCACCATTATT